TTTGGAGGCTTAAGACCGCGCCTAATCGCCCGGAAAATACGGTATATTATGGACAGGATTAGAATGATTTAAAGAACCCATACTGTGTTATTTTCTGATCTATAATAATGTAAAAATAATCTAGTAATGTTGTTTCCTCATCACAAACATACCTGGAGTTGTGTTTTGTTTCATTCACATGCATTTAAACACACAAACTCTGCATATCTAGGCTGAGTTCTTCTCTCAGACAGAAAACACTCAACTCTCTTAACACTGTCCAAAATTGTGGTGTCATACTGTAATACAATATGTGCTCCACTGTGTTTTTAAACTGCATACACCTACACTAGAATCATTTGGATGATTTCGGCCCTGGAATTGCCATTCTAAAAAGTAGCTGTTAACCTTAAAATTACCACCACATGACATCACAAGGTGGAGTATTTTGAGCTTTGGAGATGTACACAGATTGATAATAAAGAACTGCTCAAATATGTGAATGAAACAAAACACTAATTTGGATATGTTTTTGAGGAGGAAACTCTAACATGGTTTAAAGGGACAGTTCGGAATTTTGGACATAGGGCCTCATTTCCTAGTTAGTCAGAGTGTTGGAGACGTGTGGAGACACTTTTTTTAAAATATGCCATCCAGTCCTTGTATTTGCAGAGGTCGCTGGTGCTAGGCTAGTGCATGTCAATGGCCATAGTTAGCCTCACACTAAAAACAGTCTTACCCACTACACAAAACACCCGAAGCAAATCTATTGTTACGCCGGATTGTCGATGTGAATGTCTGTGTTGATAAAATAATGTTTAAAATAAAACTAACCTTGCATCACATGAATCGTCACAAGTTGAGGTACTATTTTCTCATATATCGGTTCGCCGCTGCCAAGCTTTCTATCAGGAAGTACAACTTGCTGCTGTTGTTCAGACATAAATCCTTCAAACGCAAGGTTGGTTTTACTTCTAAAATTATTCTATCGACACAGACATTTACATCAACAGTCTGGCGTAATAATAGTTTTGCTTCGGGTGTTTTGTGGAGTGGGTAAGATTGTTTTTAGTGGCAGGCTAACTATGGCCATTGACATGCACTAGCCTAGCGCTAGTGACCTCTGCAAATACAAGGACTGGATGGAATATTTTAAAAAGTGTCTCCACACGTCTCCAACTCTCTGGCTCACTAGGAAATAAGGCCCTATGTCCAAACTGTTCCTTTAAACAAGTGTGAATAATATATATATATATATATATATATATATATACAAACAAACAAACATTATAACATAGGTCAGAAAATTGCGTAATATGAGCCCTTTAAAGTGTATTTCAATTGCGTAAGTGGCTTGCACTCAGCTCAGCGGGAGAGATACAGCAGTGGTAACTTCACAATGCATGTTTTTCTCACAAATGTTAGAATACAGATCCCAAAAATACACTTTAAATATGGCCTTAGACTGTTGGTACAGCTTTACCAGCAGAGAAAAGAAAATTCAGTGCCAATTATGTTAGAGGACATTTATCGTGGCCATTCACATACAAAATATAATACTAAAAAGCGCATAAGCAACACAAACAAAGTCATCTGTGGAAATACTGTCTCATGAATGCCCAAATATGGTCGCTTCATCATTAGAATATGAGGACAGGAAACAAAAGGACGAGCGGCGGCTGGATGAGGCGTAATGAAAATAAAATGTTAATATGAATTTTTCATGGAGGAACCTGTGTGACAATTCGCCGACGTGTGCATTTCTTCACACCGCAATCCATTATTCAGGAGGCTGGCGACGGGCAAGTTTATTCTTACATTTCGCAAAAGGAGAAAGAATAATTTGATGATTGCATGAATAGAATGGCGATATAATTACATTTAAATATATGGGATTTGAATGTGGCCAGGTTTCAATACATTCAAATCTATAAAGATGTGTATTTAAAGGGGGGGTGGGGGTATAAAAAGGGTCAAATAATAAATCAAGCCCGTGCATACAAAGAGAATGCAGTTTGAGAAATAAATAGAGCTACAATGAGCTGCAATGAGCTGGAGCGGTGCTAAGATACAAATGTTGGATCAGTCCCACAAAAAGTGAATATTGAAATATCGATATATCATTTAGTTTAATGTGATAATACAGTATTGATATTGTGGGCCTCTGTATCGATATGTCACCAAGAGTCTTTTGTGGTGTATTTTACTAAATTATTTTGTTACAGTTCTACAGTTTTGTTGTTTGTTCAAAACAAGGAAACTCGTTTATGCAACACATTTGACATTTTTACAATTTTGAGGATTAAAATGTTTGTGTTTCATATCCACTTTGCACAAGAAGTGATTTAACAAAGACTTTTAATATCACAGCCACAATTTAGCCATTATATTTATTGAACCACATCGAATCAATTTGAAATATATCGTATTGAATTGAAAGCTCACTGTATTGAGATATGTATCGTATCGTGGCCTATGTATCGAGGTATATATATCGTATCAGCAACTTCTTAATGATATCCAAGCCTTATTAGTTACACAGATATAGTTTTCAAAATTAATTCAATGCAAAATGTCCATAATTTTTTCCCATAGATTTTGCGAAAAATTCAAATATTAACAGTTCGAAGCCATTGTGGATTCTTAGCTGCCACATGCCAACAAATATCCATAATAATCCAGTTGTTTTAAGTCCAAAAAGCCTGTTTAAAGTGCAAGTTTCTAGAAAATGTTTCAATAACATCACAGTTCATAGAGTTTCAGAAACAAATTTTAAATGACTTTCAATCATTGCTATCTAATACACACATATGCCTCATGTTTTCCTTTGAACTCTGCTCCAAACCAATGTTTCTTTTAGTCTTTAAGTCTTTTCCTGACAGAGGATTGGCTGCAGACCTCTGCTGTTTTACTCTGTTGTTTTGTGTTTTCATGACACTGTCTGGTTTCCAGTGGGTCCTGTGTAAACGGCTGTAGTTCTGTCTCATCACATCATTTCGAGAAGTCTTCCAAAACGTTGGCTTTACAGGTCTCTGGGCTGCGCTAAAGATGTGTACTTTGAGTCTGTATATTTCGATCGCCACGAGGGAGGTTTTGTTATTAGAGCTCATATATATGACTCCATTTTCTGATCTGTTCTAATGTGGTTTTCTCATCACAAACAGACCTGGGCTTGAGTTTTCTTTCATTTTACACATGTTTAACACACAAACCCTGCAGATTTAGGCTGAGTTCACTCAGTAGAAAAGACTCTGTTTCACCTTGTGATGTCATGTGGTAATATAAGAAGTGCTCCACTGTGTTTTTAATCTCCACACACCTTCACTAGAATCATTTGGATCATTTCAGTCCTGGAATTGCCAATCTTGACTGAAGTAAAAGTAATGGTACGTATTAACTTGAAAACTACCACTTCATGACATCACAAGATGGAACAGAGCGTTTTGAGCTTTGCAGATGTAGACAGACTAATAATAAAGAGTTACTCAAACATGTGTGAATGAAACAAAACACAACTCCAGGTCTGTTTGAGAGGAAGTGACAACATTATAACATGGCTAAAAGCTCACAAGAGTCAAATTTGTGTGTGTAACTTTTCCACCACTTCCTTGTCTCCATGGAGATAATGGGCCTCATCCATGAATCTTTTCATTAAAACGTTTGTAACTTTCATGTTAAGAGATTAGACTCAGATTCACAAAGTGTTCTTATGTATCCAAATTCCTTAAGTAACATTTGTGCTGGATTTCACAAACATCCAGCTACGAACATCTCCACACTTATTTACAAAATCTGTTAGACCCGATAGACACAGGCACTAGAAAAGTAAAAAAAATAAGAAAATACATAACTTACAATCATGGAGGAATTAGATTTTTTTTTGTTGCATTATCAGAGAAATTATATTCTAAAACAGTGGAATTTTTGTTCTTACGAGTGCTCCTGACTGTTCGTAGGATTTATTCTTCCAGAAGAACATTTTCACTTCAGAAAAAATATTTGTGATAAGGCCTTAAGTACAAATTTGTTTGTAAGAACGTTTCATGAATGAGGTCCAATGTTGTTATGTCTGGAATGTTTCACAGTACAACATTAAACTTATCTGACTCGCACTGATTGAGTTCCATCTGTTTTCATGGCTCAGAAAGTACTTGTATACTTACTTACTTACTGTGAGCAGGGTCACCTCTCCGCGGATCTGACCTGATCTGAACTTGGCCTTGTGGTGTCATTTGCTTGTCTCCATGGATTTCTTAAAAGTTTAATGCCATATTGCAGAAAATTCCAGGCACAGCAAAAACATATCCATGGAGAAAATCAACTTTAATGTCAGTTTGAACTTTAGATACTTGGTAGATTTAAGTGGATAGGACGTTCCAACAGCAATTTTTACACGCAATGATAAGAAAGAAAACACATCAATGGAAAAGAAGCACAATAACTAATCAAAAAAATGTAAAGTGTGGGGAGAGACATTTAGCAACACTTGGTCATACTGCAGGACAGACCAGTAATCTATAATAACATCATGCAGTATATTATCATTATAACAAAAAGGTTTTCCCACTGATAGGTTAACTTTTATATAATTTTTTTTTTTTTTTGGTAAAGTCTGTGAGAAAAACAAATGGGAAATTTAGTTCCAGACCCGGGGGGTGGGCGCTCACTGTTGAGCTCTAATATGCTGGAGCTACAGGAGCTAAAATAATTTTAAAAAAGCAACATCAAATACTCAACATGACTTTATCTAAACATAAGGAAAACAGCATCAGTGCAAAGGTGTTGTGTTAAAGCTGCACCCTGTAACTTCCTGGTGGAGGGTCCACCACCTGCTTTTCTTTGTTGCTTTGCCTGGAAAGCTCCACCTTATAGTCACGTTTTTTGTGCCGTTGTCTCATCTCATTTAAGACTGATAGCAAATATTGGCCTCATATATCTGAATATCTAATGTTAGCAGGACAGTAAAAGCAGGTCTAGGATGGTAGTTCAGCTAAAAAATAAAATACACATACATATTGTAATAAAATATATATCATCTGTCATTTATTTACATAAAATACAATGTACACAACAACATTTCTTTGCAGATTTCAACCATTTTACAAATGAACAGCATATGAAATAAGCAGTCGTTGCTTTACTGTATAAGAGAATAGAAAGTCCAGCTAAAATAAGCAGGTTTATTTCCAGAAAGATCTGAGCTAAGCAAAGACAGCACTATTTCTGTATCATTCTCTGAGCTCTGTATAAATCAGGTGCTTTTGTAGTGCTTTGGTAAGCGCCATGTCCAGCTGAGGCCTGCGTGACCTTGGGCGTCTCTCACTCTTGTTTCCCACACTCTCCTCGCCCTCCAGGATTTCATATGAACGCCGCTCCGAAGCTCCGACCCTGTCTCCTATCTCCATATCAATCTTTAAAGTGCCTATGACAGGTTTGACTAGTCGTTTTACTAAAGGTCATTTAAGAGCTGGCTAAAAATTGTAAAATTAATTTCCCATTTTGGACTTTTTTAGGTTTAAAATTTTACTTCCTGGTTGGAAATCATGACATCACACTAAGAGTTTCCTAGCAACCATGTTACACAATGGTCTTAAAAGTTCTCTATGTACACAGAAATTATTATAAAACAAATAAAATGAATTTGAAAATACTTTTGTTTTGTTGAAATGATGTTAAAGTATCTGAAAAAATTTGTTTGTGTGCTGAATTTTTGGATATCAATATGGTATTGTCTAAAATAGAGCTTTACTTTTTATAATTTTCAACATATTTTTCAACTTTTCTTCACATTTTCTTTTTGATTTGTTTAAAACTATAATTTATATTATCGCACCAAATTAAATCAAAATGAGAGAATCATCAAAACCTGTCATATGCATTTTAATATGTTCCCAATATTCAAAATGGCCACTCTTTCTTCCTCCTTCTTCCTTCACCCCTCGATCACAGTCACTCACTGTTCTTTGCGCTGCGTCCAGTTTTACTCAGCACCGAGTTGAGTTCATTGAGAAGACTGGCGTGCATCTTGGCATCTCCTCCTAAAGAGGATTTTTTACCTGTGTTTTTGTACCCGCTCTGGGCCAAAAGTGAGCCTGGCGAGATGGAGGCGGGCGGCTGACTTTGGCCCGAATCCAGTGAGGTCCTTCGTTGTTGGGCATCCGGCGGTTTGAACATGTCCACGTGCCTTAAGCAGTTGGTGATGGTACTGGTCTTTTGCTGAATGCTGGCAACCTTAGCGGACTTGGCGGAGCTGCCCTCGCCAACACCGATCGCCTTATCTGTCAGCTGTGGGCACAAACGGACCGATAAAGATAAATTGCGCTACATTTTCTACTGCTCGTGCGCACCTCCCAGGCCAAGCTCCGCGCATTACTCATGTCAGACGGAGAATTCCTTGAGTAATACAAATTTGCATATGAAGTTACATCATTTTAGTGAAAACATGACCTTTGTAAACGATCTAAGATTGCAAGCATTTCAAAATCTACAATCAGTGCATTTTAAAGGTGCACTACGTAACTGTGAGAACACAAGTCGGTGGTGTAAAAGTTACATGGTGCACCTTTAACAATCACATAACACTTGAATATTTGTGTTGTTGTAATCCATATCCAGTGTTGGGGAGTAACAGATTACATGTACCGGCGTTACGTAATCAGAGTACAAATTATGAGTAACTGTATTCGGTTACAGTTGCCGTTTCAGTGAGTGGTAATTGGATTACAGTTACTTTGTTGAAATAAATGGATTACACAGCGGTATTTTCCTGTTTTCACATTTTGGGCTAAACCAGGACTAAAACCAGGACTAAAACCAGGGGACTAAACCAGGACTAAAACCAGGACTAAAACCAGGACTAAAACCAGGACTAAAACTAGGAAACTAAACCGCCAGGACTAAACCCCCAATAAAAGGACTAAAACCCTGGAAAACCGGACAGGAAATAAAACCAGGACAAACAGGGGTTTGGTCAATAAAACCAGATATTGAAAACAAAAAGGACAATAAACTAAAACAGGACTAAACCAGGACTAAAATAAAACAGGACTAAAACAAGGAAACTAGGACTAAAACCAAACTAAAACAAACAAACCAGGACTAAAAACCAGGACTAAACCAGGAGGACTAAACCAGGACTAAACTAGGACTAAAACCAGGACTAAAACCAGGACTAAAACCAGGACTAAAACCAGGACTAAAACCAGGACTAAAACCAGGACTAAACCAGGTAGGACTAAAACCAGGACTAAACCAGGACTAAAACTAAAAACTAAAACCAGGACTAAAAACTAAACTAGGACTAAAACTAAAACACAATATAACACCTAAAAAGCATGACAATATCAAGTAATCCAAAGTATTCAGATTACGTTACTCACTTTAAGTAATTTAATAGATTACGTTACAAACTACATTTTAGGGTATGTAATATGTAATCTGTAATATGTAATCTGCTGGGGAATACATTTTAAAAGTAACCTTCTCAACACTGTCCATAACTGACCTGTTTACTAGAGTTGTTGCTAAGTAGTGTGGTCCCAGGTCCCAGAGTGGAAGCCTTGATTGTGGGTGCATTTGAAGTACTGGTCGTCAAACAGATATCGGAGCCAAACTGAAACACACATCCAACAATTTAAATCAGAAAACCAAAGGAAGGCAGGGCGAGAGAAGTTTAGTTGTATAGCACAATACGTACAAAGTAATTTAAATGCTTTACTGAATAAGAAAGACATTAAAATCACTATACAAACTAACAGGGATGTAACGATATCCAAATCTCATGGTACGATATTTATTGCGATATTTTGTGAAGATTAACAAAACTTTGAATATGCTACTTTTTCATCTTAAAATGCATCGACAAGACTTAATCCAAAGAACGAAGATGTAAAAGTGCTTAGAACTGTTATTTCTTCATGTACTTTGCACCAAAACGGAGCAAAGGATCATGGTCGATGTAGTCCCCTCTGTTTTTTTAGCTATTGCTGCACTGTAACAATGAATTTACGCAAAGAAACTTGAGATTCGATATATTGTGATGGCCCATGATATTATTGACAGACTTTTGACGATACGATATCACGATATTTTAGTTATCGTTACACCCCTACAAACTAATCAAAGCATAACAATCATCATAAAATTTACATTAAAAATAAGAACGAAGAGTGTGGAATAAAAATCTTTGCATAGTTAAACCGAACTGTTTTGAGTCTGGATTTAAACAGAGTCAAAGTGGAGGTCGGGCTCACATCTTCAGGACTGTTCCAGGTTTAGCTGGAGGTAACAACATTATAATATTGCTTTTTGAGGCAGTAACACTCTTAATGAAATACACACGATATAAAAAATGTTTAAAGGCATACTGTGGAACACTCTGTCTGAAAGAATAAAACATCCCTGCGGAGACATGCATTCAGGATTTCCCCTCTCCAAAAATTATGCTGTGCACCTTTAAACACAAAAGCTCAAACAATTGTAGATGTAAACAAACTAAAACGCTGCCACTGCTCTGCTAAATACAAAGTTTTAAATATTAATAAATTCTATTCTTTTTAATGTGTGCTTTAATTGAATGTCCAAGAACTACACGCGCTACTTAAACGGGCTGAAATATTAATGATTTGAGACTACAAGTCTATTTTTCAGGTTTCAACTCAAAATGTGTCGTTTAAATCCAATTTGTATGCATGTTTGGAGTTTTTAGATGATCTTAAAGGTATTAAGCTGTGTTTGCTAATGTGTGCATTGTGTGTCCATGGTAAGTGACGTACATTCCCCCAATACACACACATGTAGAGCACCCTCAGCGTGATGTCACTGTAAAGTATCAATACCTGCTGCTCTGTATGTACTGTATAAGGGAATAATCCGAGTAGGTTTTTGTTGATATTTTGAAGTATTACACTATAATAAAGCCGCCAAGTACTTGTCAAACTTACAGCCAAATTTTTTATATTTTATTTTTGTAAGCTTGGCTCTGTCTGAGGCTTTGTCAGACTTTAAAGGTGCATTGTGTAACTTTTCTGGTGGAGGGTCCATCAAATGCTTTTCTCCATGGGGATGTTATTGCTTTGTCTGGAATGTTTCACAGTATGGTATTAAACCTTTTTATCTTCATGGAGACCAAACTAGACCAAGTTACAGTTCAGATCTGTGGAGAGGCGACCCCGCTCACAGTCAGGATGTCTGCTTTTTCAAGCAATTTTTGACCAGTAAAATCACCTGTAACTAAATAAACGTAAAGTAGAGTTGTTTAATGTGTGTGTGTTTAAGTGTGGTACATTTCAGGCATACAGGGTATCCCCAGGTTTGACTACCCCAAATTTAAGACTTTTTAAAGACCTTTTTAAGACCACTTGAATGAAAATTAAGACCAACACTGGATCTGGCGTCTTTGGGGGTGAAAAACACTAGATCCGATTCCAATAATGACGACTGCTCACTGCTTTAGATAACAAAAAATACTTTTAATTAGACGTTCATTCACATTACATGATTTCATGTTTTGTTTTCTTTTTATCCTCTGTTTAGCATTGCACTGCAGCCCCAAAAAATAAAAATAAAAATAAAAATAGGCTAATGAAATTTAAGACCTCTGTGAAAAAAATAAGACACGGACAACATAATTTAAGACTTTTTAATTTAATTTAGGAACATGAAATTTAAGATCTTTTCAAGACTTTTAAGACCCCGTGGATACCCTGGGCATAGCAGTGAGATATCCATAGAAACAAGCAGCCAAAAAGTCACCTAATGCACCTTTAAAAAGCGTAATTTAACGTTTCTGTCCCCTTTCTATATGACGGCTTCAACCCTCGGATTTGTGGTTCAGTCCATCTTTTAACAAATCCACATTTTTATCACCGCTGCACCTGTCCTTGGACCTCCCTGGCCTCTCTGATCTGTCCCATCGCACCTCGTCTCAAAATGAGTCCCGCAGTTTCCATAGCAACCGTCGTCCAGCTAACAGGTATGAGAGAAGGCATCAGGAAGTACTGGCTCGGCGTGTCTACTTTCTCATCTTCACTTTCCCCTGCCTTCCGTGTAAAGCCCTCTCCACAAGTGCTCGCTGACAATCCTAATATTTAGAGGATTTCGGCCAAGAAGGATCCTAATATTTTTAGCCAGCTCTTGTCCACTATATAGGCTTATTATGAGTTGTGTGTTTTGTTTTTTTTCACACATGTTTGAGTAATCCTTTAGTATTAGTCTGTTTAAAGCTCCAAAGCTCAAAATGCTCTGTTCCCCCTTGTCATGTCATGAAGTGGTAGTTTAAGTTAATAGCTACCTTTCCATATATACTTCCATTCACTGAGTTGAAAGTATCCAAATGATTCTCCTGAAGTTATATGGAGTTTAAGAACACAGTAGGGCACTTCCTGTTTTACCACATGACATCGCAAGGTGGAACGGAGTGTTTTCCGCTTGAGAGAAGAGAGAAATATTCAGGGTTTGTGTGTTAAACATGTGTGAATGAAACAAAACACAACTCCAGATATGTTTATTTTTGATTAGGTAACAACATTATAACATAGACCAGAAAATAGTGTAATACTGGCTCTGTAATGCCATACTCCGGAGCTTTCTAAGGAAATCAATCAATCTTTTGGACTTTCACTTATTGTGTTGTCATTCTTTTTTATTTGTATGTTACTTTATGTTACTTTTGTTTGGTAAAAATATTTTCAAAAACAAAAAAACTTGTTCCTATCTTTAGCTTGAGTCTCCCCATCTTCGTCCTGATGATATTTCTACTTTCTCATCTTCACTTTCCTCTGCCCTTCGTGTAAAGTCCTCACCACAAGTGCTTGCTGACAATCCTAATATTTAGAGGATTTCGGCGAAGAGGGATCCTAATATTTTTAGCCAGCTCTTGTCCACTATATAGGCTTATTTTGGGCAGCTAAAAGCCCCTCTAAGCTCAAAGTAAAGTCACGGAGACTGCTGTAATAAACACCTTGAAACACTCAGAACAACAGACGTGCAATTGGCTTTTCCTTTTAGAGTGGCCAGGCAGACAGAGTTGCCCTTTTTCGCTTGCAAACCCAAACAAAAGAATTGAGTTCTTTTTCTTTTTTTGTGTGTTTTTTACTGTAAGCACCTGTGATAAACAACTCTAGCTGTGGTGGCCAGAAAGAGTAATGGAGTGTGCTTGGAATTTTAGACATGGCTGCACATGTAGTTATGATTTCAAAATACATTGTTTAGAATAACTGCATTTTAACTGCGCATCATGTAACTACTTTGGAAGAGGGTTCACCACTTTCTTGTCTCCATGGAGATGTTATTGGTTTAGACTGTCCCACACTATGGCATTAAAGGGCCCATCTCATGCCAAATCAACTTTTCAGAGCTTTCTACTTTCTAAGAGAAATGTGTGGGCCTTGTATATGTCGCCAAAGTGTTTTTTAGATTAATTTGGCGTTATTTTTAACAAAGTGCAGCGTATTTCTGCCACCCTCCCACGTGACAATGAACTAAAACCTGCTACAACGATGATGCTGCCAGCTACACCTACGACATGTTTGACGTAGCAGAAAGCGCTTCACACCTTCGCATCAGCATAAGCTAATTGTTCTACGCTGCAGTGTACACGATATAATATCGCCGTTTATATATATAGTTTATCTACTAGAGTTTATTAATACTTTACCAATCAGTAATGTTCAGCTGATGCAGACGCGGTGCTTGCGCTTCGTGCACCTCAAAGTCGTTGTCCGATTCCGGGTCCAACACATGTGGCTGAACGCACTGAATCGCCATGATGAATAAAAGTTTATTCCTACCACTATCAGGGTGCACACCTGTCTCCCCCTCCCTCCCTGAGATGGGCGGAGGAAGGGCGGCTCACTCACTCAGAGCCTACGTCACATTTGGAGGGCAGAGCCTGTGCTTTCTCAGGACGGGCGGGGGGATGAGCAATAGCTGGCTTTTTATAGTTCCTGGTCTGTGACTGCCTCCAATAAATCAGTAAGATTTCTATTGTGTAATGGATGTTCCAAAACCCAAATTGTGCTTGTATATGTGCAAAAGATACAACGTGAAAAAAGTTATTTTGCATCTCAAACAGGTAAAAGTCACAGGTCACATTTGGGGAGTGGTAAGCAATTTCACAATATTACTATTTATTTATTTTTTGAACAATAAAAACAAATGTAATAGAACAAATGCATGATTAATAAGTTAAATGTCATACTGTGGAACTTTCCAGGCACCGTAATAGCATCTCCATGGAGACAACCAAATGAAGTCTAAATGGTTAAACTGAAATTTCATTATTACAATCCAAATTCGAGCATTTAAAGATTGGTTTCACAGAGATTTGATTCCTTTACCTGCAGTATTCCTTAGTATGACATTTAATTTAATCACCATGGAGACGAGCAGGTATCTTGCCAGGCCAAGTTACAGGTCACTTCTGTGTAGAGGTTACCCCACTCACAGTGCAGATTTAAAAGATACCGTATTTTCCACACTATTAGGCGCTCTGGATTATAAAGAGAACTGTCATAGAATGGTATATTTTCAAACTTTTTTCACAAATAAACCGCACCGGACTTTAAAAAAAAACACAACAGTTGGATGGGTCAGTTGGACTTTGTTTGGCGCGTTCACAGTGACTCTCGGCTTTGTTCAATTGTGGCGCGTAGGGAGGGTGCTGTCTGGGACCGCTGGATTGTTGGTGTGTTCGCAGTGACTCAATTGTGGCTAGAAGTGGCACATTGCGCTCGCTTTTTCAGTTTGTTCCTCAGTTGTCGTTTATTGAAGTCGTGCTGGGACACCCGAGTGGATAGGACGCTCTGGACTGTGGGGCGCGCAGTCCTTTTGATTTGGTTGGAGTCTTAAGAGCGCGCCCTATTGTGCGGAAAATACGGTATTCTTGAACAATAAAAACATCTATAATTTAGTGACTGCATGTAAAATAACTATAATAACTACAATAGTATGAAACATTCCAGCCAAGCATTAAGCATCAACATCTCCATGGTAGCTGATCCCCACTGGACAAGTTACGTAGTGCACCTTTAAGCGTTAGACAACCTGCTCTTGAACCTTTTCACAATGTCAAATCTTACCTGTCCACAAAAAGGATACGAACACTTAGTTAAAATACAAAAAGCCCGTATCTGGAGCGTGAATATGAGGGCCAGATGACACCAGGCTGCCCTTGTGTTTGCATTGCATTATTGATGCTGTGGCATGTGCTGTGTCAACACTTAGCTGTATCTCGGGGCTATAAGTACCTCAATGTGATTGTTACAGTCGCCTTGACCTTCTCCTCAGAGCTTTTTCCACATAAAACCATTTATCTTATTACAGACTGACCTCCAAAACTCCACACTTCTCCTTACTCTTTAGCTTTCATAACGGTGCAATGGAAAGTGATGATTTATGATAGCTCCAAGTTCAAATCTGATTTATTCTGGTGGTAATTGTGTGTATTTTCCCCACGCTAAAGAAAAATATGATTATAGAGACGTAAATATTTCAATTATTTTTTAGCAATAAGAGGATTTAAGAGAATATATCAAGTCCAATTTGGCGTTTTAAGGTTTCCCTATTCATGACAAGTCTTAATAATGAGATCTCTACTCTACTCAGTCTACTCTACTTTATTAGCATTTGCAGCCTGGAGCTCTTTTCTCACTTAACAGGCAAAACTGGCCTTTTCTATATCAGAATCTGTTTAACAATAATAATTTGAAGCTATAATTATAATTGGATGTTTGGATTCTAGTTGAGTTTTGTCTGAAAAATAGGCTTGTAGTCCCAAATCATTAATATTTCAGCCCGTTTAAGTAGCGTGTGTAGTTCTTGGACATTCAATTAAAGCACACATTAAAAATAATAGAATTTATTAATATTTAAAACTTTGTATTTAGCAGAGCAGTGGCAGCGTTTTAGTTTGTTTACATCTACAATTGTTTGAGCTTTTGTGTTTAAATGTGCATAGTGTAATTTTTTGAGAGAGGAAGATCTGCATGTATGTCTCCGCAGGGATGTTTTACTATATATCATATCACATGTATTTCATTAAGAGTGTTACTACCTGACAAAAGCCATGTTACAATGCAGTTACCTCATCAAAAATATACCTGGAGTTGTGTTTTGTTTCATTCACACATGTTTAAGTAATCTTGGATTATTACTCTGTTTACATCTCCAAAGCTCAAAATTGTCATGGAGTAGTTTTTTAAGTTAACAACTACCTTCTATCTGTAGTCCAGTAGAGATCGACAATTCCATGTCTAAAATCATCCAAATGATTCTAGTGAAAGTGTATGGAGTAGAGCAGGGGTTTTCAAATTGGGTGAATGTGAGCCTTCCCCCTTCCATTGTGCAGTCCCGCTCCTGCCCCCAAGGAATTGTTATTTTCATTCCCGTTCCCGCCCTCATCTGAGATATTTTATCCCTCTCCCACCCGCACGATGGGGACGTTCGCTTTCTTCAACTTTACACTCATATTTAGTTTGCGGGACTGTAGTTTATCATCCCACCATCCTGCCTGCGCCCGCAATGAGATTTCAAAATGTGTCCCGCGCTGCAATGTTTTGCATCGGAACCCGCGGGAGGCTTGCAGGAGAGCAGTGATCTACTCCGAGACTGTGGAGCAGGTTGTCCACAAAGCGCGATCGGGTGACGGCTGCGCTTGGCTCTGTGAAGTGTGGAGCTCTGTGCCTGGTCCTTTTGCCTGCGATCACCCGACAGTCTACACGGGCGCAACTCGGCCCCGTCCTGACACTCAGTCCTGGTTCAGTCCTCGTGGTTCAGTCCTGGTTTAGTCCTCCTGGTTCAGTCCTGGTTCAGTCCTGGTTCAGTCCTGGTTCAGTCCTGGTTCAGTCCTGGTTTAGTCCTCCTGGTTCAGTCCTGGTTTAGTCCTTCTGGTTCAGTCCTGGTTCAGTCCTGGTTTAGTCCTCCTGTTTCAGTCCTGGTTTAGTCCTCCTGTTTCAGTCCTGGTTTAGTCCTGGTTTAGTCCTCCTGTTTCAGTCCTGGTTTAGTCCTCCTGTTTCAGTCCTGATTTAGTCCTCCTGGTTCAGTCCTGGTTTAGTCCTGGTTCAGTCCTGATTCAGTCCTGGTTCAGTCCACCTAAGTCGCGCTTATTGAAAATCGCTGGAGTAGAGCACTTTTTATATTACAACATGACATCACAAGGTGGAACAAGGTGTTTTCTGTTTGAGAGAAGAACTAAATATGATGCTAAATGTGCAGGGTTTGTATGTTAAACATGTGAATGAAACAAAATGCAACTCTAGGTATGTTCTGTGATGAGGAAACAGCATTATAACATTGATCAGAAAATAGTGTAATATGGGTCCTTTAATGCCATATTTTGGATCTTTGCTTTTTGGGTTTTCACTTATTGCGTCCTTACTTTTGTGTTTTATTCCTTATTTTACTGTATGTTATTTTTGTTTTGTATATATTTCTACTATAGGTCTGTAACTTGGTGTTTCCTGGAGCTTGACTGTACCCACCTTCGTCCTGATGATGTCTGCCACCCAGCTCACCTGCACTTCCCTCTTCTCACAGCAAAAGTGCCTGAGGAGCAAAGTCACACATAGGGTCACGTTGTCATTTTCTTCCATAAACTTACATTGTGAATCACAGCTTGCACTGACAGGTGAACCGGACCGAAAACAGCACGATACTAGGCTAGAATAACTGCTATTGTGAATAACTACACTAGAAAAGTATCCGTTACCAGCAGTGATATGATGGTTTAAATAGTACGTGTCACACTGCTTTTCAAATTTATGCCTGAGGAGATCTAGGAAGAAAACGCTGTAATTATAATGTGTATAAGTGTGCTACTCTGAACCCTATCAATTATGATGTATTGTACGGATCATCTTTCATAATTATGCAAAAGACTAATCTATGCATTTTGGTGAATTTAATTTGGTGTTAACAGCAGTGTTCACCTACAGTACATGAAAATGAGAAATAGCTCAGAAATGCTTAATCAGAAAATGTTTGTTTGGAACCAGCTTGTGGTATTTTGTATCTGCAGTTTATTCTGTATCTAATCATGAGTTTCAGCTTCGTGTTATCTGAGACATTTTTAGGACTTTTTAGGAATGCTGCATTGTTGGATATTATATCGACTTCCAAATACTGGTTCAGTCGATATCCTGGTTGGACATTTAAATTTATGTAATGAGACTATTTCCTGGTTATAGTTGGCCCATAAATGTTTGAATTTTAAATACAAAGCCATTCAGAAGTTATACAAGGGATAAATAACAGCTACATAACAGATTTTGATAAGGTTTGTCTTTTTTTTTGTTTTATTTTTGTTTTAAGGAAGTAAATGCTGTTTTCAGTCTCTGTACTGGTTTCGGTTGATAGAAGCGATCGGCAGATACCAAAAGCTATAGTATCAGAATCGGTATCGGACCTGAAGAAGCCGGATCAGTGCATCCATAGACTTTCCCATTTAAATAATATAATATTTAGTCAAGTTGTAAATCGCTATGGCAATGGTTCTCTTATTTCATAAATTGAAATCCATGAACTAGCCAGCCACCTAGTGCCTCTGCTCAGTTTCATTTCTCTCCAGCGGCTAGGTCAGGAATCGGAATACACTAGATGGTTTGCAAGAACCCTGGAAGTTGTAGACCGCGTACCAGCCAATCACCAAAGAGCTGTGAAGCCATGACGTCAAACTCAAGCGCCTGTCTGGGTCCGTTTTGTCATACAACACAACAGTGAACAAAGCGGTCGAGATGGATGTAGACGAAGCCATACATTCTGTGTTGGCAACGATTCCTGAGATTGAAGATTTAAAGCCAGAACAAAGTGAAACCGGGCTACCCACGAACAGCATTTACCAAAGAACTGAATGAGTCCTGGTATATGTAAATAGTAAGGCTTTTTCTTCTTTCTTATTTAATAACTGACCACACCATATTTTAATTAATGATCCTGAAATGATCCACATTATATAAATCGTAAATAAAAACATAAATATAACACATAATTATCAGTACTTACCATTGTTGTTTATCTGTGTAGACCGTGAAGCCCCAACTGAAAATGAAAGCACAGTGCACGGGTCAGATTGGTCCATGACAGCGCTCAGGCTTCAACTTCTTTATGATTGAACTCTAAAGGCAATTAACACTCTTACACCAGCAAAGACTGACGCATGAAATACAAAAGCGACAGAGGCTTGTTGCTAAAGGGAAGAATTAATTAGCTAATTCTTGCAACTCCAGCTTGTTTATGCACTTTCACACGCTGGAGGTCAAAGGTCAACGAGTAGCCAAAGAGACCTTTAAGGATAAAAGCATACCATTAACGAACTATAAATATGTTATTTTCACTTAAGTGTACAGAGCTTCAAGCTACATCTGTGTATGTTTAGACTGAGGATCTGAACTAACTACCTACTATATTGAAGTACTCACAGTGACTACTACAGTATATGTAGAGTTATGATAGCTCTGATACTAGGTTTTATTTATTTATTTTTTTTTAGGTTATATTTTATTTTTAACTATAGTAAGTCTACTTGTATCTGTGTAAAGTTTTTGGATACTGCCCCTACTACTAAATTACAAATACTACTGCTACTACTATTGCTACTATTGCTACTGCTGCTACTGCTGCTGCTACTGCTACTGCTACTACTACTACTACTACTACTACTACTACTACTACTACTACTGTTACGACAACTACTACTACTGCTATTACTACTACTACTACTACTATTTCTTCAAATTCTACAACTACTTGTGCTGTTTAAATCAATTTAGTATTTTTTCTTGAGATTTCAGATGATCTTAAAACATTTTTGCCTCTTTGTGTCACCATGGTAACTGCTCAACATTCCGCCAATAGACATATGTAGGACATCCCCAGCGTGATATCACTCCAAAGTATCAATACTCTTGTAAAAAGTGCCACTATGTTTTTACAGTGCATTCATAAAGTAGATATATACAAAGTTAAAAAAGAACATCTATAATACTTTTTTCCTAAGATCCTTCCTAATATTTCGGATAGTACTGATAATGTTGCCAGACGCTATGTTAATGCTTCTCAAAAGTTTTGATGACCAACTGGAGCTGCTGCGGTTTTGGCGTGTGTCATAAATTATAATAACAGACAATCATTACCATAACACACTGGTGGCGGTGGATTCTATCTGCTGAGGGGGAGGCTAATCATTTGTATTTATTAAAATGTAATTACATTTAATCGATCGAGCTGTGGTGAAAAATAAGACGAGGTGAGGAGTGGTATGGAGAAGTCTCTGCAGGGACAGTGAAAACAGTACACGCGAAATTACACTGATGTTGGAACAAAGTTAAAAATCTTGACTTTATAATTACAAACACAGGAGTGGCCCAGAAGGTGTTGCGCTTGGTGCTAATGATGAGGATGTGATAAAAGAAAATGATAAAAAAATGTTATTTCACTTCAACATAACAAGTGATAATTATCTGGGTGGTTAATTAGGTTACCTTCAACACAGTCTGTTCTCTGCTCGTTTCCTCAAAGATGTTATTGCTTTACGGGAAATGTTCCACAGTATGGCATTAAAGAAGAACTATTATCTATTATAATCTATGACGCCAGTGGATCATTATGTTATAAACTGCACATCGTAAAGGTTCTTGGGGAGGGTATGCCACATGCAAGTCTCCATGTAGGTGTACTTAACTGTTCAGTGTGGAATGTTTCACAGTAAGGCATTAAACTTCAGTCTCCATGGGGCAGACTGAGATATAGATCAGTTCGGTGGAGAGGTGGGCCCACTCATACAAGGATGCATGTACTTGAAGGTATTTCTGAACAATAAAAGCACCTCTAATGAAAGCAAAGAAAAGCAAAGCAAAGCAAAGCGGCATACTCTTCACCGGAAAAGTTACACAATGCACCTTTAAATCACAATACTGATTTAAAATGACTTTCTAAAAGAAAGTTAAAAGCCTGCTGACTTCTGCTTTAGAAAACTGCGGTGCCCAATGGGAGCTGACGTCGACATAAATGTCATCACAACAAAGAACCATGAAGTTGTCCACCCCTCCTATGGATAGCTGCAGATCACACTAGCGAGCGTGAAAGTGTGAAGCTGCCGAATCCTACACATATAACTGATTAAGAAAATAAAATTCGAGAACAACGTACTGTATTTTTCGGACTATAAGGCACAATATCAATAATGCTGAATTCTCTCATTTCTTTTCATACATAAGGCGCACCGGATTATAAGGCGCATTAAGTGAAACAAACGGACGACGTCTTGGTGAATATGTATTAAGAATATGAATGTGGGTGGATAATTTTTTTAAATTTAAAGTTTTTTTTTATTTTTTTATTTCCTACAAGGACGACTCAAATATACAATGAGATTTGCACACATTTCTTTACATTTTACAGAAACAAAACATAAAACCACATGGCTAATTTGCATAAAATATAAGCGCTGAACAAACAACAACAAAAAAAAACAGCTCGCTCCTTGTGCATTGATCCGGTCAGCGTCTGTTGGACTAAAGGACAGCCTCAGTGGAGGTCAGTAAGCACAACCAGAATTATTAATACATAAGGCGCACTGTTGATCTTTGAGAAAAATTGAAGGATTTTAATTGCGCCTAGTAGTCTGAAAAATACGGTAAGTACAGAGCAGTTGGAATATTATGGTGGTGGTGCAAGGAGGGGTTCATCAGCAAACTCCAAATACAATTTTGGGTGAGTAAATGGTGAGAGAAAACAAATATAACATGATTAAAAGCTCAAAAAAGTTGATTTTGCGTACTGGGTGTAATTTGTCCAGCCAGACCCTTCTGCATTCTGTTTAAAATCTGAAGGGACTGGAAAAGGACCACAGAGTGTGAAAAACCTCTGTCCAAACTTGAGATGATCCAAACACAGCTGCAAATTTGTATTACATGTCTCTTAAATGCAGAAGACATCTCCTCTCCAAAATTCTTATAACATTTAGAACAAAATATATAACTTCTTTTACGTGAGATAAGTAATAGTTTGGTCACCAGCTTCAGTTGTTGATTCTGCAAAAACCCATGCTGTTCCTCAGTCTTTTATGTAGATTTTCCCCCTTTTTTTATGCACAAGCAGCCATGTTTGTTTTGCGAACAGAGCATGTGCCTCTCTTGTCAATCACTCCCTTTGAAATCATGGAGACAGGACACGTCTCCAGATCCACTCGTCTTTTCAAAGTTTTGTCAAAGTGTGTGGTTCTGGCTGGTCAGGTAATAGTGGATTTGCTTTAATGCATTATTTATCTCCATTTATCTCCATAAGCAGAAGTAGCCACTAAGCTGAGTTACAAGTCAGATATGTGGTCCAACTTTCTCACTGTAGCACATACCATCTTAAAAGTGATGTACAAGACAGCGCTATCTCATTTACAGAGTCTCCCAACATTTGGAAATCGAGTTGGGAAATGTTAATTGCATTGTGAAATTGAATACAGGAAAGGAAAATCACAGGAGCATGTGCTTTGTGATACCTCTGTTGAGTATTGTCTTACCTGCTTATATCTAATATCCCAAATGTTTAAATTAAGTACAGGCAGCAATAGCACAGGGAGTGAGGTCATAGAAACTAGCCTTGTATTTCACCTATTGTAAATTCACAGTGGAGTTAGAATCTCCAACAGTGAAAAAAGCCTTGAGCGACGGTAAGCTAAAGGCAAATGAATAAATGGACATGGAGTGCACTTTAAGGTAGCTCCTATTTCATATGGATCAATGGCTCATCTTTGACGTGCATTATTCTTAACGCACATATACTTTTGAATGTATTTTACTTTGGCCAAGACACATTCAGTCTATAGAGCGATATGACAATGCAATTACTCATTTTACAGTTATGGTTTATGGTATTTTTCATACAGGCAACAGAAATGGACCATATATAAAATAAATAGTTTTGATGCAGTAATAAATATATGCTCTATAGGGTTCTTAAAAATATTGATCAGATACAAATTTATACTAAAACTAGTATACTCATTTGAGCAGGTATCGATACAAAAAGGGACATTCACAGAGCTAAAAGAAAAGAATAAATAAAATAAAAATCCAAGAAATAAAGGCTTGAAAGTTTCACTCTATGTTTAATGAATCTATATAATATTGGATGGATCTTCTAAAATGAGTGAAAAAAATATTGAACTTTCTCATGACACGGGTTTGAAGTTTTAGTATTGTAACAACAACAAATGCTCTCAGAACAATTTTAAAAGCAAAACCAACCTTGCATTTGAAGGATTTATTATTTGAACAACAGCATTGAGTTGTATTTCCTGATAGAAAGCTTGGCAGCGGCGGACTGATATCACCCAGCACCTATCTTACCAGCAAAGTAAAATTCCGCTGCTGCTGAGAAAATAGTCCCTCAACATGCGATGATTCATGTGATGCAAGGTTAGTTTTATTTCAAACATTATTCTATCGACACAGACATTTACATCGACAGTCTGGTGTCATAATAGATTTGCTTCGGGAGCTTTGTGGAGTGAATAAGACGGTTTTTAATGGCAGGCTAACTATGGCCATTGACATGCACTAGCCTAGCACCAGCGACCTCTACAAATACAAGGACTGGATGGAATATTTTAAAAAGTTTCTCCACATCTCTCCAACACTCTAGCGAGGAAATGAGGTCCTATGTCCAAACTTCCGGACTGTCCCTTTAAGAACACCACATCACGGTGAGACCAGGGATTTGATTTTTACCTGTTTGGGGCTTTGAGCTTCTTCTTCAGACCCAGATAGCATTTCACAGACTTGAGCAGGACGGCCTTCTCTGCTTTAGTGCTCTGTAACACAAAGGTGCAGTGCAGTTTACTGTGTTGTTTTTGGCAGTAAAAACACACAAGCAGTGTTAAACAGATGGGAGACAGTGAATTGTATTAGGACCACAGTGCGATTAATACAGATTCTGCCTTTATTGTGTCACATATTGTTGGGTTTGAAATGACATTAATATTCTGCAGAGTTTTGCAACAACAACTATAATGCTAACAGCGCACTAGCATTACTTCTTGGCTTTATAATTACATTCAGATAGCACACAACGGTCTCATTTTGACTTTAAGAGCTGATTTTATAATATAACTAACAGAATAGAACAAATTGTAGTTTATCACCTGAAATAAATCAGATACAGCCACTTTAAGGTCATACATTAAGAAATTTACTCTTTAAGCCATGTTAGAATGTTGTTACCTCATCAAATATATGCCCCTGAGTTGTGTTTTCATTCACACGTTTCTGCATCCTGCATTATTAGGCCGTTTACATTTCCACAGTTAGTAGTTTTCAAGTTAACAGCAATTTTTTACATTTAGTTCAGTAGAGATTGGGAATTCCAGAGGTGAAATTAAGTGTGTGGTGTTTAAAAACACAGTTCAGCACCTGTACTACCACATCACATCACATGGTGGAACAAAGTGTTTTTTGTTTGAGAAAAGAACTAAATATGCATTTGTGTGTGAAAGAAAAAACAAGTCTAGGTAGGTTTTTGATGAGGAAACAACATTACACAATAGATCAACATGGGCCCTTTAAAGCAGAGGTAACTTTTTCTATTTTTACAGTCAAGGTGTCAGAAATTCTAAATCTACAACTTACCACAATGTACCATTGAATATAAAACACCAATAATTATTTCAACCAATTTTTTAAGATTCACTTAACGTTACGGCAGCAGCACTGTGATTGTGGCATTTCTGAGCGTCTCCACATGACAATTAATTAAAATCATTATGTACAAACCTGCTCCTTCAAGCAGGAAAGAACAAAGTGAAACAGTACAGAGCTGAGTGAATCAAAGTTGGAGCATTGTGATAACACCTCCACAGCCCAATGCCCACCTCTTTTCCTCAAACCCTGTAATAATTTGGTCGGTACAATTAGAATTTCACATCTTTTCCTTTCTATTAGTGTGAAAATCAGAGTCCTACTTTGTGCACACTGTAATGAATGCAGCTTTAATGTTTGCGTCCTCTTATGTACTACAAACCCTCATCTGACATTGGACCCAAGTGTTACAAAGGAATAAATGGAGATAGTGTAAATTAAGCCTGGAAGATCTAAATTTGCTCCAGTCTACCCCACCTTCTCATTGTCCTCTCCATTGTCCTCATCCTCTCAAGCTCAGATTAAAGGTGAATTGTGTAACTTTTATGGTACAGGATTCCATATACTCTATTTTTTGGACTATAAGGCGCACTTAAAATCCTTGAATTTTCTTAAAAATCGACAGTGCGCCTTATGTATTATTTCTGGTTGTGCTTACCGACCTTGAACCAAATTTATGTGATACACGGCACTCAATAATCTGTCAAAATGTTATAGTATGACTTTGGTACGCTACAAAGCCACACCGCTTGATAGATTGTCGGAGCATTACGGCTACTGTAGTCAGAAGCCTGGCGGACTTTTTTCAGCGCTTATAGTTTATGCAAATTAGCCATGTAGTTTTAAGTTTCATTTCTGTAAAACGTAAACAAATGTGCGCAAAGCTGCATTAAACACATTCATACTCAGTGTATATTTGAGTCCTCCTTGTAGGAAAAAAAAAAAAACTACTTAAATTATAAACCCACATTCACTAAGATGAATCCAAGGCGAATTACACCACGATCATGGATGCCTGGGCTAAGATATCAGTCTCAAGTGCCGTCCGTTTGTTTCACTTAATGCGCCTTATAGTCCAAAAAAAATATGATAGATGATGTTGTTTTTCCTGGAATGTTGTAATGTATGGCATTTAATTTAGCTATCTCCATGGAGACAAGCAGCCACATCACCAGGCAAAGTTACAGGTCAGATCTGTGGAGAAGTGGGCCTGCGCACAGTAAGAATGCACGTTTTTGTGGTAGTTTTTAGAAACAAAAACTCCTCTAATTGAGTAAATGCAAGATATATGTGTTTAAAGCCATACTGCTGAAAACAATAACATCACCATGAAGAACAGCACCGTACCTTCCACCGTAAAAGTTACACCGTGCACCTTTATCAATATTAATAGTGAGAATGCAAGTTTTAAAAGGTATTATGAACAATAACAACCTGTGAAATAAAAGCTATATATATTTGTTTATCGCTATACTATGCCACACTTACTCCACTCTTACCTTGGGAATTTTACACACAGGATACAGCTTATTTACCCATTAATCTGGAACATTTGAAACCACAACACTGACTTAATACCAGAAAGAAGAGTTTTTAGTTTTGTTTATGGTTATATTTTAGATTCTATAACCTTTAGCATTCCCCCAGGAAGCAGCCAGTCCCTGTGCGATAGACTGTTTTGGGGAAGGATAAAACAGGAGATTAAGATGAAAATATGAGCGTACTTTGATATCTCTGTAGAGCAGCAGTTTCTCCGCGCGCAGGGCCACGTATTTGTCCTGGAATTTATGGCCCGACAGCAATTTGCACGATCCGTCATTGAACTTTAGGTAGTCTCCTCTAATGAGCATCTTCTGGTCTGAAACGGCAGGTACAAAAGAACGTTAGAGTTAGGCCGCTTTACTTCACGAAACTAAATAAGTTATTACAATACGAGTTAAGATACTGCCTATTTGAGGATAATACTGCTGGTTTTTCAGTGATGCCATATCATTTGAATAGAAGCAAAAGACCTTTAAAGAAGATATTACTGCGTTTCAAATTTATTCTATAGCAAGCAGATTTTCATGCACATGTTTTTATTAGTAGAAAATGGCTATGTACATTTTTTTTTACCCTAGATATATCAATAATTGCAAGAAAGTACAGATGGGCTGACTATAAACTGACATTTTCTGAGCACTCAAGAATCAGGACAACACGGAGTTACTCAAAAATACAACTCCGAGTAACCTTATGATGAGCAGACACCATTATAACATGGGTAAAAGCTCATAAAATGTCACCTTTAAAGTCAGTTTGACCATTCTTAGTGTGCAAACTACCTTTCCCCTCAGCAGTTCTTTTGGCTGCAGAGAACTTCTTGATGACCAGGAAGGCAGAGCTGGGGTACTCCAGCGAGCTCCACTCCAGGACCTGCTCCAGAACCTTCTCACTGTGGTGCAGCGGCCGCTCTGTAAAAAGAAAAAAAGGTCAGATCTCAACTTATTAACTTCTGTTCCATTAAAGGTGCACTGTGTAATTTTTCTGGTGGACAGTTTGTCACCTGCTTGTCTCTACAGAGATGTTATTGTTTTGTTTGGAATGTCCCGATATGAAGTTAAATGTTTCCACCTAGTATTTACTCAACAACATTGGGTTTTAGACCTAAAAACTTGCATTCTTACTGAGAACCTCTCCACAGATCTGACATGTAATTTGGCCCTGTGGTGTCAGCTATTGTTTTCATAGAGATACATATGTGTAAGTGTGTCAGTGTGGAACTTTTAAGGCAATATCTCCCTAGAGAGAAGCAGGTGATGGACTCTCAGATGGACACAGTGCACCTTTAATGATATGGAATTACCTACTAACTTTCTTTGTGTGTAGTCAGTTGTATTCAGTGTACACATGGTCAAACAGAGTCATTATCATGTCCTGATGGGTGCACACGCTGCATGTTCCCAACTTTAAGACTTGTGATTTGTGTAACAGCACCTGTGAGTGGCGCCACCTTCAGGCAGAGGGCTGTAAGACGCCCCTCTGCAGTATTACTTATTCATGACGGCAGCTTTATCCCCTTCACAATCTCACAGACCAGGGCTATAGAATTAGTTCCTCATTTCCCGACAAATATTAGCTCCTGTTTCTGCCTATTGTCCTCGATAACAGTGTTTATCTGAAGCCATCCTCCAAAATAGCTAATTAACGTTCATTCCCTCCTTCTTTATAGCTTTATAAACCAAACCTGTCACGGTCCCACCTTCAAAATAACTTGCCTGTTTACTCTTCAGCACACATATTGTCTTGCCATGGAAAATTTGCTGAACCGTCAGCAAATATATTCAGTATTCAACACAGCTTCATTTTTAGAAAAGGGCACCGTGTCCTCTGTAACTTTGCAGAAAAACAAACATGAGAGTGAGTGTAAACTCTGAGTGAACTGATGAAAAGTACAGAGGGACCTCCAGCTAAGCTATGTAGCCACAAAGGTAAAGTTTGATGCCCACACCCCACAGTACCAGCCCCCTCACACAGCACCATGAGACACAAGGTCCTATCTCTGCATATTCATACAGACTGGGGTGGGTCAGCTCCCTGGGCTTGTCACGCTACGAAGATGAAGGTAATTTATGACATCATGGTGAAGATGATTAATTAATGTGCATATTATCAAAACGACAGCGCTCAGCTCATTTATCAGAACGCCGCCATGTTCTTAGACAACCATTTATTAAAGGAGGACCTGCAGCATCTAATCACATGGTCCATGAGATCAAGTGTGATCTCCCAATACAATAGAACAGAGCTGAAGCCAGTGACCCCACTCTGTTTTATAATACATCTCCTGACGGCAACACTAGTTCAGACCAGGCAGCATTAAAGGCCAGCAGGTACATGGTATCACTGTCACCGCTCTACATTTCATTGTAACTGAATGTAAACATGTAAAAACCAGAAGTGGACTAAGGGACTGTCACATCGCCCATAGCGTTCAGTTCCAGTCAATTGAAGCTCACAAGGCTAGCATTAATAGGAGTGAATTTGGAGCAGAGTTCCAAATTGGGAATAGAAATTTATTTACGGACAAAATAGCAAAATAAAAACATCACGATAAAAAAAGAGGGGCAACAATTTCTCAATGTAAAGTGTCGATGGAGCCATAAGTGCCCCCGTGCTCACTTCCTATTTTGAACACAGCGACTTGTGGGTCAGCTATATCCATTTATATATATATAGTCTGTGGTAAAAATGCATATTTTATTAAACGTAAAATACCCATCTCTCCATGCTCGATGACTTCAAATGTAGTCCACAGGTCTTGGGCGTTGACAGTGATGTTCTTCATGTTGAGAGCTGTTTCTGCCACCTCTGAAGCCCTCATACTCGGAGACAACTGAAACACACACAGGAATATTCTGATTTAGTTCTCCAACATCTACACTTGCAGATAGGTTCAGTATTGTCACATCATGTTGACTGGGCTGTGGAGTGCAGTAAAAATCACATATTATGCTTTTTCTGATCTGTGTTATAATGTTTCCTCATCACAAACACAGCTGGAGTTGTGTTTTGTTTCATTCACACATGTTTAACACGCAAACCCTGCATATTTAGGCTCTTCTCTGATTTAAAAAAAAAAAAAAAAAACAGCCAAAACGTTTTTTTTTTACTAGTTTTTTACAAGTTTCACTTTTGTTTTTGACGCTCTGATTTTGTCCTCCATTTCTCTGCGTTAAGTCACTCCCCCTTCAGAGCGCTATCACAACACAATCAGCGTGCATCCCATTAATGAAACTACATCACACACTGCACATCGCATCAGGTTTGTGAAGTTGTTGTGTACAGCTTTGCATCATGTTTTGTATATTCATGGAGAATTGTCATGTCGTTGTTACACCTAACCATAATTAGGACTTAAATAGGGCATGAGCCAGATCACTAAATTACTGAAACATGCATGTATCTATCTAAAACCTCTTCATCCCTGTTTTTGATGAGGAAACAATGATATAACTTAGTAGAAAGTAAAAAAAAAAAAAAAAAAAAAAAGAGCATTGCTATTAGTAATTAAAGAACATAAAACTCAAACTGCAAATGATCTTTTTAACCCCTTTAACCCTTTGTGCTGTGAATGGCCCCATCACCTCTGGCTGTACAGAAACGCAATTACTCACACAATTAAAATAGACATTTCTTTTGATTAGCCGAGTTTTGATTTATTTCTGTTGGCTGTAATCCCATAAGGTTTAAAGCACCAATGCCCCAGCCCTATTCTATCCCTCTATCTACCTCTCTACCTCTCCACTTCTCCACTGCACCTGCCTCCTTCCTCCTTTCACTCCACTTGTTCTTATTTCAGCGTGGACCTCTGGGAGAAGTGACCACACACACTCACACACACAATTCTCAAACCTTGATTAAACAGCAGTTCTCTGGCGCTTTCTTTTCCAGGTAAACTTCGAAGATCAAGTCCCCAGCTGGAGCAAACTGTAGAAATAAAAACAGATATCAAGATCAACAGACTTACAAAACAGTAAAAACACAATATAAGAGCTGTGTTTCTAAGATGGAAAGCTCTCAAATTTCTGGTGTTAATTAAAGGTGAAAAAAGTGCAAGACAAAGAGTAAGCGTATGAGGGAATTGTGAAAAGGTCAAAGCTGGAAGTGTGTAAAGGTTTCGCAGGTTAAGAAAAGTGTAGTTGCGCTGTTGGGGTGTTAACTTGTTAAAGTTGTCGTTAACAATGAGATCGTGATCCATTTATTTAGAAAAAGCGAAAAACAGACTAAGTGAGAAAAAAACTTGCGTAATTCATGTGTTGTGGTGGAACAGTCCATTCTGAACTTTGGAGATGGAGACAGACTAATAAAGGATTACTTAAACATGTGTGAATGAATCAAAACACAACTCCAGGTATGTTAAGAATCTGGTAACAGCATTATAACAAGGCTTTGTAATACAGTGGTCCCTCGTTTATCGCGGACATTACTTTCTAAAACTAACCCGCAATACGCAAAATCCGTGAAGTAGTCAGCTTTATTATTATATCTGTTTTAAGGCTGTAAAACCCCTCACCACACACTTTATACACTTTTCTCAAACAGGACAGTTACAACCCTTTTTGCATCCTTCTTAAAAAGTATTGCTGCTGTTGTCCTCTTGTTATTTTCCTCCTTCTTTATGTAACAAACTGAAGATTCATTTATTCCGTAATTGCGCCCTACAGCCACGTAACTTCTACCTTCCTTCAGCATGTCCAGAAGCATCTTCCTCTGCCTTTTGGGTGCAACCGCAGGAGCCTTTGTCGGTGCAGAACCTTTCGTTGACATTGTGGGTTTTGTTGGGGAGAAAACTTGCAAACATACAGTACTTCACAATCACACTGCTAGCGATGGAACATTTATGTAAATTTGTCAAGATGAACACATTCTGTACTGTACAGGAGACACGGCACGGGGGAGACAGATTGATTACGTTCTACGTTCTACAGTCCCTTAATCAATCAGGACGCAGGGGGAGGAACATAATGTGTGCTCATACACTGATAAAAAAAAAAAAAAAAAAAAAAAAAGAAGCATGCAAAATTGCAGTAAAAAAAATCCACGAAACAGCAAGGTCACGAAAAGTGAACCACGTTACAGTGAGAGATGACTGTATAGGACCTTCAGGATCACTGTTCCACAAGAAGATTAAAACTGTATTAAAGTTATCTATTTCCACAGAGAAGCCAAGTCTGAATAACATGTCAGATCTGTGAAGAGTCAACCTGCTTGGAGTAAATATGCTGTTTTTCTCATGTCTAACAGTAACAACACATGTATTTAAATAAATGCAAAGTAGATTAGTGTAATGTCAAAATGTTCAATATCGGCACCAATATCTGGAATATCGGTGCATCCCTACTTAGAATAACTTAGAAATCACAGTTATTTGCCTCTACTGAGAACAGGCTGTTACTGTGAATATGCCACAGAGAGATGTGGGCGCAGTCAAGTTTACTCAATAAACTCAGTATTTCTGTGTAGGGTGAGAAAAACCATAGAAGAAGTCATTTATTACAAGACAGAGAAATAAAGATATTATGAAGTGTGCAGTGACAGCAGCACTTCTAATTCTCACCAATGTCATCCTCTCTTTGCACCTGCTCCGACTCTGAATGTAACTATTGATTTTAAAATGCCACTTCTAACTCCACACTGGCTTGTACCTCATTATAACACTGATTTACTAACTCCCGAAGTAGTCATACTACATAATACTGGCAGGACTCAGGTGTACTTAATATTCTGAACCTTTAAAATGAGACAATTATGTCATAACTTTTGGCTTATACCTAGACTAAAATATAGAAAGTAAAACTATACAAGAGCATTAATCGATTTTTTGATTACTTGAGACCAGAAAGAGAGGAAAAGTTTGTAAGGCCATAGTTTTGACACAATAGTAAAATTTCATACTTTATTTGGATACTAATGAATAGACTTTCCAGCATTCAACATTCATTTTCAACATTTCCTTTGATATTTCTATGCAGTTCCTCAGCTGTCCAAGTAGGTGGGCGATTTTGACTTTATGTAGTCTTATGTACTAATTATGATAAACCCAAGATCATTCTAGAACAGGGGTACTCACACTTTTTCAGCATGCGAGCTACTTACAAAATGACCAAGTCATAAAGATCTACCTAATACAAAGCCAAGCAAACTGCACTGAAACACTCTAAACACTCTATTCTTTAAGAGAACTTCCTCTGGCACTTTACACAAAACTGTGAAAAAAGTGAAGGAAGATTTTTAAACCTGTTTTTTAAAGTTCCAAACTGGAGTTACATTCTTTTCTGGTTTTGCAGTGATATTTACCAGCCTCTGCACGTTTACCAAACCAAACGCACATCGTGACAAACACAGATGCATTTGTGCACTTTTGTTAGGCAAACTTCAGCCAAATGTGGCAGTAGGTCTGTTCTGTAGATCTGCTCTATGCTGTAGACCTGCTTTGTGCCAACACTGTAACACAAATTTAGACTCGTTTTTGCTTCACGTTTCGTCTTGCTCTTCTAATCAGCCGCACTGTGGGAGGGGCTTGTGTTCGCTGTACGCAGGAAGGAGCGAGAGCGTGAAAAGGCGAGGGGCGGCGTGCTGACGTGAGGCAGATGGACAGGTAGGATGTTTAGGAAGTTGAACCTGCCCTGTGATGCACGCTGGTACACGAGGGCACACGCTGTTGCAGACAAGCCGTGCATAGGGAGCGTGTGTATTTGTGATGTGCCGTAAAGTCCAACAGCAGCGGCCGTAATGAAATATGATTGCACTTGTTGAGTGTCAGACCTTGAGTGAGAGACAAGACAGAGTCCAAACGCGAGTCCGAGACGAGACACGGCGATCTACCCACACGAGCTTGGCGATCAACTGGTAGATCACAATCGACATATTGAGCACTCCTGTTCTAGAGTTATTCAGGAAAGGGTAATTTCTGCCTGTTTGATGTGACTTTTTTAGTATCATACTTGCTTAAAAGCCCAAACAACTACAATACTAAACCCATTCCTACACACAAATTCCTAACTACTATAACTATGACTACAGACAATTTCGATTTTAAATCACAATATTCATCTAAAAGGACTTAAAGGGACAGTTCAGAATTTTGGACATAGGAACTCATTTCCTAGTTAGCCAGAGTGTTGGAGACATGTGGAGACACTTTGTGTGTCATTGTATTTGCAGAGGTTGCTGGTGCTAGGCTAGTGCATGTCAATGGCCATAGTTATCCTGCCACTAAAAACAGTCTTACCCACTCCACAAAACACCCGAAGCAAATCTGTTATTACACCACTGTCGATGCAAATGTGTTGATACAATAAAGTTTGAAATAAAACTAACCTTGCATCGCATGAATCGTCGCATGTTGAGGGACAATTTTCTCAGCAGTAGAGGAATTTTACTTTGCCAGTAAGATAGGTGCTAGGTGATATCAGTCCACTGCTGCCAGTGCACAATTTTGACATTAACCTTAACAGGAGAGATGCAATGTACCAGGTTGTAGCACCAGTGTACTCCCAGGGCAGGTTCATTGATTGATTATATTTAATTGCTATCAGCTGTTCTTCCTGGAGACATGTAGCATGTTCTGGGGGAAACCAGAGTGCCCAGAGGAAACCCATCCAGACACGAGGAGAAACATGCAAACTACAGAAAGGCCCGGGCGACTCGGGGATCGAACCCAGAACTTTCTTGCTGTGAGGCATGAGTACTAGCCACTCAGCCACCATACTTCAATCGGGAAGTACAACTTGCTGCTCAGACATAAATCCTTAAAATGCAAGGTTGGTTTTACTTATAAAATTATGCTATTGACACAGACAGGGTGTTTTGTGGAGTGGGTAAGACTGTTTTAGGTGGCAGGTTAACTATGGCCATTGACATGCACTAGACTAGCACCAGCGACCTCTGCAAATACAAGGACTGGATGGAATATTTTTAAAAGTGTCTCCACACATCTCCAACACTAACTAGGAAATTAGGTTCTATGTCCAATATTCCGAACTGTCCCTTTAATAAAAGAATTAAGTCCACTAACTTCCGCTTTAGAAAACTGGTGCCCAATGGGAGCTAACCGTAAACATCATCACAACAAATAGCCATCAGCTCAGCTGCAGATCAGCAGATTTTTTTTCATTTGTACCAAATGCTGCTGAATCCTTTGTGTATCACCGAAACACTCGAGAACAAAGTACAGAGCTGTGGGGCATAGGGACGGTGAAAACGGGGGTTGATTGGCAGCGTGCAGTTTTGAAAATAAGTAATTAAAGAAACACTAAAACATACACAAATCACTCCAAATGGTAAGGGAATCATTTATGAAATGGTTAAAAGCTTTAAAAAGTTGATTTTGCAAAACAGGTCTGCCTTAACATTCACTCAAGCTTGTGTGTATCTCTAAGTACACCATCTACAATAATAAATAAAGCATACAATTACTTTTTTACCCTGTTCTACACTAGTTCAAGCTGTTTGGACCCCATTAAAACTCTTAAAAGTCTTTGGTATCAATAAAGTTCCCCGTCTAAACTCAAGCCAAAAGATTCAACTGCGCAGAGCCATACTTTCACCCTCTCACTTGTGCAGGTTAAATCCCGGGTCGATTTGAGTCCATAACTGAAATGTTGTCCCAATTTTCACCTCCAACAGCTTCATAATAGTGGCTGCTTTCCACTGAGTAACCCCCGTGCCCCACAGCGGAGGACATGTCGTGAAAGGCTAGAGTACAAGAAAGGAGGAGAGCGAGTGGGAATGCATTGACCACAACAACTATTTTAGACCTGGACAACCGCATGCTAGCTATTTTTTATTTTTTTCTACTTATCTGGACCAAATGCTTTTCTGTGCAGAGGCATCCAGCCATAAAATACCTGTGGTAAAGGTTAACTGGAACAAAGTCCTTTTTTGCCTCACCTGCTGCTGCTAGCCTAATCCCCCTGTTCCCTCTGCTAGAAAAACAGGGTACCTCCGCAAATGAATTCCTGATTTGAGAGACCATGACACACGGCGCTAAATCAATACGCTCGCGCACAAACAAACATCGCCGACGGAGATTTCCATTAACGCCGTCTCACCGTGGCGTCCTTCTTGTCGTTCCAGCGCGTGATGAAGCGGTTCTCTCTCTCCATCTGCTCCACCTGCTCCACGTTGACCTGTGGGAGAGTGAACTCAGTCACAAATACAAACTTGGACGTGTAAGGATATATGGTGCTGGGGTCAAATACAAAGAGTTAGTGGAGATATACAAGGTTGGGCAAGTCTGGTTTTCAAGAATTTCAAATGCAGTTAAAGGTTCTATATTACACTAAATTGACCCTTGTGAGGTTTCATTCATGTTATAATTTTACCTCATTAAAAATATACCTGGAGTTGTGTTTTGTTTCAGTCACAGATGCTTGAGTAATCCTTTTATTAATTGTCTGTATGCATCATTGTTTCACAAACTTATATTACAAACCTATATTTTAAAAGTCACAAACCTTCACGAACCCAAGTCAGAGACATTCTTCATAAATCACAAAATAAAGGTGGATTTGACCATTATTGGACATTAATGAGGATATTTTATTGTTGACTGAGTGTCTCTGAACAATTAGTATTACTCAAGTTTTAAACAATGAAAACAGTAATTGAACCAGCAATAAAAGGTATCCATAAGTATCCTGAAGTGCAGTGGCCTTCACTGATTTATCACTCTTCTTTTTGGATGACCAAGCAAGCATTTCTCAACTTTACCTGCAGAAACACTCGTTGAGGACAGGCAGCTACAATTTGCAGACTCTGTATATTGCAGATCTACATGCAGATTGTGACAAGGCAACCCCCAAAAAAGACCCCAAAAATGTCTTGCGACCTACCTGAGGGTCACAACCCAGTCTTTGGGAAACAATGGTCTACAACTCCCAAGCTCAAAATGCTCTGTTCCACCTTGTGTGTAGCAGGTAGTTTTCACGTTACCAGCTACCTTTTACCTTTAGTTCAGTAAAGATTGGCAATTCCAAAGCTGAAATTATCCAAATGATTCTAGTGAAAGTGTACGGAGTTTAAAAACAGAGTAGAGCTCTTCCTGTATTACCACATGACATCACAAGTTGGGACAGAGTGTTTTCTGTTTGAGAGAAGAACTCAGCCTAAATAAGTGTGAATGAAACAAAACACAACTTCAGGTATGTTTGTGATGAGGAAACATTATAACACAGATAAGAAAATAGCATAATAAGGGCCAGTTAATAAATATCTGAAAAACTACTTGGACCGTTACCATCCATATTATTATTATTTTTTAAATAAAAGCTGAATTGGGCATCAGTTACTGGGGTAAACACACAAAATGAGTTGATTAACTTTATTACATCCCTTGTATTTGCATTCTTCACATCTCCCAGAAACTTCCCCAAAGTACAGTAAACTGCAGTGTAAAAAACTTAACTGTCACCACTGATAGCGAAAGACAGTTATTTCCAAACTTTTTAACATCATTATCCGTTTTTGTGAGACTACTTTCCTTTGTAGAAGTTATGGAGAGAAGATTGAAGAAGGCGAAACTGCGTGAGTGTTTAGTCCTGATAATAGTCCGCTGACAACACCCAGCGCACACTTGGAGCTTTAATTAGAGAAACGTCTCTCATTTGGTGTCATACAGTGTGCATTCAGCGGCGTTGGGCTCGTGATTGGTTGGGCTTAATGGCCATTTGTCACACGAATGGCGCCGTCCTGAGAACGATTTCGGAGTGAATGTCCCTCCTGTAACGTCAGAACAAGAGGGATCTGGGGCTCTGTGGGGATTACGGTCTCTCACAGCTCAGTGTCCCATAAGCCAGGCTCTTCTCCAAAAGTAAGCATTGATCTCACACCCGCCCCCTTTGCACTTTGAGAAGACTGAACCAAACATAGATTGTGTAAAGAGTTGGACTAAGGGAGTGTGACGTCTGTTGACAACTACTACATGACACCACATTGTGGAAAGGAGCATTTTGAGCTTTGGAGATGTTGACCGTAGAATGTATAAACAGAGTGTGAGTGTGACATCACCCATAGCCTTTGACGCTAGCCAAATGAAGTTCACAATGCAAGAGGTTAAAGAAGTGCATTTGGAGTACAGTTACATACTAGGAAAAGGAATTTATTTATGAACAAAATCGTGAAATAAAAAGCCCAGGGTCATCTAGAGCGGGTTAATACGGACATTTTAAGGCCAAAATGGCGAAGCTCACTTCAGCAGTTACAGATAGAGGTACAACAGTTTTTCAATGTAAAGTCAACTGGAGTCAGAGTCAATGGAGCCAGAAGTGCCCCCATGCTCACTTCCTATTTAGAGCGTGGCAGTTATCAGGTTAGCTATGTCCATTTATATTTACAGTCTGTGGTACCAACCCAACAAGAACACTTATCCTAGTGCTTACTGTGGCATTAAAGAACTCATTATGCTTGAGCCTGCTCTATAATTATAATCTATGACACCTGTAGATTGTTGTGTTATACTTTGCACATTTTAAATTGCAATATTCATCTAAAACAGGGGTCATCAACCTAAGGCCCGCTGTCCGACTCCGGCCCTCCATGCCCCCTTTGACTGGCCCCCCACTACTTGAACAGGCCCTAAGAGGCAATCCTCAAAAGTTGTTTTTTAACTTTTTAATTTTTTTTTTACTTGTACGCAAATAATAACATGTCTGCATCTTGTATTTTGTTGATTCTTTTCAATAAAAAAGTGATATTTATATGAAATATCTATATTTATATTTAAATAATTATATGACGTTTTTACATTTGCCGCCAAATTTTCATCACCTGACAAGCTTGAGATCAAACGGTGACAGTCAACGCAGTTTTGTAGTGCAGTTAAGGGCAGCAAAATGGCTCGTGTTAAAATATGAAAGTTAACCAAAAGTGCAGAGTTTTCAAAGAACAGTGGACGACTGATTATTTTTTGTTATTTTTTGTTCAGTGTAAGGACCGTGCAGTTTGATATGTAAAAAAAGTGTGATGGTTTTCAAACAATATAATCTGCGTCGTCAGGATTATACAATTCTGTTATACGACTGACCGGACCCCGGCCCCCCATCACAGTCAGGAGCGATAAAGTGGCCCCCAGAGAAAAAAAGTTTGGTGACCCCGATCTAAAAGAAAGAAAAGAAACTAGTCCGCTGACTTCCACATTAAACTGTGGTGCCCAACAGGAGCTGACGTTGCGGTAAAGACCATCACAACAAAGTCGATGATAGCTGCATAGATAGCTCCTCATCACACTAGGAAGTAGCAGAGTTTTCTTCATTTGTACCAAAATTACTATGCCACACTGCAGAATCCTACATGTATCAGCAATAAAGAAAATAACGAAGTAAGTACAGAGCCGTGGGTGTGTGCCGTTGGCGCTGAAAATGAGGATTGATCTGCAATATGGGGTCTTGAAAATAAGCAATTAAAGATTACTCAAACATGCACGAATCACTCCAAATACAACTTCGAGACGGTAAATGAGAAAGGAAAACAACTATAACATGGTTAAAAGCTTTGAAAAGTCAATTTTTGCATAATAGGTCTGCTTTAAAAGTACGGTGGTAATACAAATAAGTCTTCCAAGGCTGGAGAATGACCTTATATCTTTATGCTAATATTAATATCACATAGTACAATGACATTATTAACTTGACTATAGGATATTTCCTCAGCTTAAAGTTCACAACACTAGTATTTTGAAACCTTTAGTGAGGTTTACAAAGCGTATTCGAAACCAGCCAATGTAATTTCAAGGACGAGTTTGAAATAAAAAATCAGTGTAGTCAGTTTACATCAGAGAACATTTGACAGTGACCTTATAAATAATTGGTGAATCTTTTTCTCCTGTCAGAATAGCTGTGCAGATTTAGCTCACAGTTACGCGCCTGCCCTGGTTTCTCTTCAAATTTGCCGTCTTATTTCCTCTTCTAGGTGACCTGTTTTTGTTTGTTTTTCTGGAGATGTGGGCCAACTGCGTGAGCTGGTTACAGTTGGCACAGTCTTTGATTTTAAGCTATTTATTTTATCAGCTGAGGAGCAAAATCACTAATAAAGTCACGCGAGCTTGGAAACAGGTAAAGGTATCGTGCACTTTCAGATTAGAATACTTTGGCCTACTTACAGTCACTGTGCTTACAAGAAAAAAAAAAAAAAATAAAAGTTTACATGCCCCAATTCTGAAAAACACAAAATCCTTACTCTTGTTTGTATGTAAAAAAAAAAAAAAATCATACTCCAAATTACATGCAGTAATTGAATGCCCCTCTTGACATGTCTAAAAGTATTGAAAAAAAAAAAAAAAGTGTAACAGAGCTGTAAAATATATTGTATTCAAATGTGTATCAAAATGGTTGGCATTATTTCAATTAAATATTATCTGCAAAAAAAAAAATAAATAAATCTTGGCTTTTTATAGAAAAGTCTTGTTGTACCTGTAGTTTAGAGTAAGGATGCCCCAATCCGGCTTTTTCAGTTCCGATACCGATATTTCAGCTTCAAGTATCTGCCAGTACCTGATATTAACTGGTACTTATTTCATTAAAACACAGGTGACTTAACTTATTATTGCACAAGATACTTATTATTATGTTAAGCAACTGTTATTTCTCCTTCACATCACTACTGAACAGCTTTGTATGATTAAAAATTTCAAACATTATGAGACATTCTAGGTCAAAAACAGCCGGTAAATAATCGAAATAACGGCTTAACATATATCATGAAACCGATCCAGCTAATTTTTCAGTATGGGTGCATCCTTAGTTTAGATCTCTACCAGTGGCAAAGTTAGCAGTTTGGGGGCACTAGGAGAACTTGAGTTTGAGGCTCACACTATAATGCACATTTTGTTTGTTTTGTTTTTTTAATATATTTCTTGTCTGTTTTTCCCCATTTTTCTTGAGACACGCACATTTCTATTTGAATTATGGTGGACTGGAAACGAGTCTTATTCATTATGTCGCCTACTAGATAATCAGAGCAGTAGGTAGTTTAATTTTTTGCTAGTACAATTATATTTTTGTTTACATCCATTACATATTATTATTTTTCTCATGATTATTGTTTAAATGTAAACTTCTCATTTAATGTCATATTGAGAGAAAATCAAATTGCTCTGAGGCCTCGGTTAGGGCCCCTCCAGGTCTGTGGGCCCTATGCAGCCTCCTACATTTGCCTAATGGTAGCGCCGCCTCTGATCTCTACAAACACGTTCTGAAATACATGTTTGTAGAGATCTTTACATTCTTTTATTCTTTTATTCATTTTATAAGCTCATATTTCAGTCTTCTCTCAAATGTTAATGTTCCTGGAGTTGTTTACAATGTGGATTCTTTTGAAACATTTATCACAAATGTAATCACAATCGCAACAATAATTGTCAGAAATTGTTTCATTAAATTTTTTTCCAGAAATAATGCAGCTTTCCTACTTTGCAATCACAACTACAACTCCCACTCCACTTGACCATGGCCTTTGACACCTGGGTAAACATGCTCCCAAATACAAATAACAACTCACCCCAAACAGTGTGATGTAGTTGTTGATGAGATCGTGGACCACTCGGACTTCCTCTGGGGTCTGTCCTTGGGTCTGGAACAGGCAGGACGAGAAGACCGAGGCCAGCTTCTTACTGGGCATCTGGTTTAAATGGGAACAGTGGTGGATCCTGGGTCAAAAACACAGAAATGCTTTGAGATTTTAATTTGCGTTAAAAAATAAATATGCAGGTCTCAATCAGACTTGTTATTTGTTGTTTTTACACCCACACCAAATGCTCACAATCCAGCATAATAAGAAATGGTTTTAAATGCAACTTAAATCATGCAAGAAAGGGCCAATTAAGTCTTTTTCCTCCATGACAGCGCATTGGTTTCTAAGACTGCAGACTTTATGATTATGTGTTTTTAAAGATGTTTACACAGAGATTCAGATTCTCACAGCTAATGACTGTCTACAAGAAAACTTTAGATTAAACTTGACATGAGAAAGAAAAAGTGGAGACTGCTTCATTAACATTAGATGGATGTATTGTAAGGACAGACTAATGCCACTCATAATATCAGCATCTGGTCGAAAACTCAAAGCTGAGAGTTAATGTCAAATACTTCATGTTTGTTAGAAATTGTATATGTAATTAATGGAGACCTTCTATCTGAAAGTCTTTCAATGTTATAGGTGAACAAGAAAAAAAATAAAAACATCTATAGATTACTACCATACTGTAAATATATGAAAACCTGTCATGAAAATTCTATCATTATTATTTTTTTAATTCCAAGAAAATAGCCAAAACTACACATTTTTACACTGGAAAAAAACAAAAAACAATATCTAGCTAATTTAAAATGACTTAAATTAAGAACATTTTACTTTATTCTAGTATATTCAACTTGACAAGTAAAATTATCTACCAATGGATCATGTGTGTTTTTCTTAATTCAAGCAACATTCAATTTTGTTTCTTATTTTAAGTGCAAAAAAGTTGTTTTTTTTCTTATTTTAAGTGTAACAAACTGTATTTTCATATTTTAAGTACAAAAAGTCTTATTCCACTGGCAGATAATTTTACTTGTGAAGTCAAATTTACAAACCAAATCAAATCAAATCAAATCATGATAAAACTTCCTTAATTAAAGTCATCTTAACTTGACTAGATTTTGTTTTTTGCAGTGTAACACTTCAATCCCCAGTCAACAGCTTTCGAAGTTACAATTTCCTGTTTGCAAAATCTACTTGTGAAATGTAATTAAGTTAAATAATAAAACATCTTAAATCAGGATTCTCTTTCAAAGCCATAACAGAAAGGAACAAATTACCAACTTATTTAAAACTAAGCAAAAACTTCAATAAAACATAAGAAAATATGTTTTAACAACGCAGAAGTGATAACAATAAGTGCCAACTAATGTAGGAAAAACAACTTATAACTAACAACAAAATTATATCTGATTAAGGGCAAAGAGAGAGCAGGGCGGGAAGGGGATAAAGATACTTGATTTGATTGTGTCGTATTTGATAGTATTTTTATTCCTATTTGTGTATAGATTGCATAGTTTTATTCTATTCTTGGAGTCTGTGTTTTGCATGAGCTAAACACAGACATGGTCCCTGTAAAATAAACTAAAGTACACCAAAATGGGCCTGAACACCTAAACTCTGCCCACAACCACATTTCAAAGACAGATGTTAAACTGGACAGTACCTGGAGGACTAAAGAAAAGAGTAAAAGGGGCGGGGTCTGAAGCTATAAGGAACACAGTAATTGGTCAAACAGGTCTCCACACTTCAGGCGTTTGAATCAGAAACGCCTGGCTGTAATCAAGGCAGTCATACGTGATGTCACCAACTACTTGAAATTGCCGACACCACTGAATTTAGGCTGAAAAGCTGCATATTTACCTAGTAACTGTAGCCAGTACTATACAAAAACATACATACAGCTTAGTGTTGACAAAAGTGGATTCAGTGTTTAGATCCACTTTAAGGAGAATTTGGGTCAATTTTGGTTGGGCGTCTGTAACCTGTTTGTTTCCGCAGATATGGGATTGCTCTGCCTGAAATGTTTCACAAAGTGACATTCCCTTACATGTATTCAATTACAGGTGTTTTTATAGCTCAAAATATCTCGAAAAACAGGCATTCTGATTACGAGCGGGGTCGCCTCTCCACAGATCTGACCTGTAACTTGATCTGGTTTGGTCTCCGTGGAGATAGAAACGTTTAATACAATACTGAGAAACATTCCAGACAAAGCAATAACAGCTGCATGGAGAAAAGCATTTGACGGACTCACAATCCCATCAAAGAAAAAAAACTCTGGTCCCAATTTAAAAAAGGAGCAGCAGCAGCTCAAGCAAAAAAAAAAAACACACTTGAATCCGTTAGTTGGTTAGAAAATAATTACAGGAACAACAGCAGACTGGTCATTAGCAGAGCAGAGGGGTACCGGGCTAATCTGCAGGTGACAGATACCAGCCCCCAGGACCCTCCATACCTACCACATGTGCGAAACAGCATGCAGCTAAGTGGGACACAACAGGAAAACATGAGATTCCCATTCATGCATGCTTCTGAACACAGCTAGACTATGTACCATGTGGGGATAGCATGGTCAGTTTGGCCAGTGGTCTAATAAAATGTGTTGGTAATTAGTCATACTTGATGAGCTTGGTGTGCTAAGAAGCTACCCTCGCTTGTAGTCATATTGCTATAATTTGCTAATTTAATTAAAGGTTCTATATTACGCAGATTTGATTATTGTGAGTTCTAAGCCATGTTATAATGCTATTACCTCATCAAAAACATACCTGGAGTTGCGCTTTGTTTTATTCACACATGTCTGAGGAATCCTTTATTATAAGTCTCCCTACATCTCCAAAGCTCCAAATGCTCTGTTCCACCTTGTGATGTCATGAAGCGGTAGTTTTCAGGTTAGCAGCTTCCGTTACCTTTAGTTTGGTAGAGATTGGCAATTCCAGGGCTGAAATGATCCAAATGATTCTAGTGGAGATGTATGGACTTTAAAAACACAGTGGAGCACTTCCTGTATTACCACATGAGTATTGTAAGTAGAGCAGCTGTTGAATTAGGTCTTATGCTTCAAAAGTTCATTGCATAACTTTACTGTAAGAGTCTGCCACTTGCTTTTTTCCATAGAGATGTTATTGTTTTTTTCTTGGAATGTTCTACAGCACAGCATTTAATTTAACTATCTCCATGGAGACAATCGGCCACATCACCAGGCCAAGTCACAGGTCAGATCTATGGAGAAGTGGGCATGTTTTTTTTAGTAGTTTTGAGAAAGAAAAAGTCCTTTAATTGAATAAATGCAAGATATATGTGTTTAATGCCATACTGCGGAACATCCTAGGCAAAATAATACATTACCATGGAGACAAGCAGATGGCAGACCCTCCATCAGAAAAGTTTTAAAGACGAACTAGCTAAAAACAGTTATACGAGACGAGACAGTTATAGTTAATTATTTACCTCTTAAAGACACAGTGTTTACCTGTACAGATGCTGCAGGAGAGCTTCAAGCGTTGACCTGTTTATCTTTGGCAGGCTCTCGATCAAAGTGGAGTACTTCTTCACCCTTTGCTTTTCATTAGGCTCGTCTGCAAACATGCACGAAGAGAGAGAAAAAAAAAGCATATTATTTCAGATTAAAAAACGGTTGGAACCAGTGGATAAAAGGGTTGATAAAGGAGATAATATTAAATTAATATTAAATTAATGAATTAAAATATGAATGATAGTATATGTGGCGTTTCTAAACCATTTCTCTGTGTCCTCAGATGTCACAATTTTAAAATAAATTTGGTTTACTGAGAACAATTTGAATGTTAATTTATTCACATTTACAAAAACATTACAAAACCTGTTTGGATTAAACCCAGAAGGGCTCTTTATGATGTGATGTTTATTATGCATGATTGCCAGAATCTGTTGCGATTGTAATGATGTAGTTATAATCACTTTTAAGATAATTATGTAGGTATAGGCAGGTATAAAAAAAGAGTTGATGAAAATATATTTGTAACAAAAAGTGTAACTTTCACCAAACTGAAGAATCTCTAAAGCCTAAATGCTGTAAGCTAAAGTTTGTGTATTGAGATATCACACAGTGACATACCCAGCACAGAGACCCAGTAGGGGTAGAGCTCCTTGGTCAGCAGAGCGTCCTCAGCGTGTGCTAAGAAGCTCTTGAGGGTTTCTGTCACATCTTCCAGCTGGTGCTGCTTCTCTCTCAGTTTCACGTTGCGAGCGTCGCGTGTGAACTGGTCCAGCAGGGCGGCGCTATGGTCGGGGTCGCCTGGACTCTGATAGACCCCCTCCTGACAGAGGCCTGCCTCAGAAGCAACACCAGGTCACAGGAGCACACCCAAAGAGAGTTTGAAAACTTTTCTCTTTACAGCAGGTCTAGTCGTGATGTCTGTGAATGTTCTGACTCATCCTGATAACCGGAGATGAAATGCGGGGCTAAATAAATGGAGCAGTGGCCAGGCTTGTGGCTATTGGAAAGATTTAAATACATTATATAATCTTGTTTGAATCTAAATTGCAGGTGGAATAAAATGTCTGAGCTATGTATATTAACCTTCACTGGCATTTTATACTTTCAGCCTGAAATGACTCTCAGTGGGAAAATCATTTTATGGAAAAACTGCTCTTTTTGCCTTTTGCTTTATGCAATCACCACAGTAAATAGTCTGCCTACAGCTCTGCAATGATGGCCTGTTTATTTGATATGAACCAGAATCCTGCATCTTTCCTCATTTATTCAGGCTTGGAACAGGCACAAAAACTATCAACTATATCAACACGGGCGGGGGGGAAAATTGGATCCTAAACCATTATTCTAAGACATGGAGCTAGCGTAAATCGGCCTGGAAGACCTAACTTTGCTCCCGTCTACCTCACTGCTTCTCCAGAGTTTACCTGCTCCCCAGCCTTCATCATCCTCATCCTCTCATCACCCTCTTCACTCTCCTCAGCCTCACCTCTACCATGTCTACCAAAGCTAACTCATTCAACAAAGCTTGCTTATGCTCTCTCTTTGTGTCTGTCTGAGTCTCTCCAGGTTGAAATGCTTTTTGAAATCCACCAAAAACATGCAAACTCTTCAGTGTTCATGTAACTAGACTGACCATACTGGGTGACAAAAGCGATGCAGCTGTCCACAACAATGGGCACCCCGTTCTTGGTGAGCTGCTGGTCGCCGAGTGCTTTTCCGTCAGTGCCCGCGGCGAGCATGATGGCAGAGTGCCACAGGGCAAAATCTGTCCGGTTGTACCCGTGGATGTAGACGGTTCTGTAAAAGAGACAACACAGGTGATAATTTAATACTGTATTTCTATGGAGACAAGCAAGTGGCGGGCTTTTTTTAGACTGTTTTTAAAGGGTCCATATTGCACTATTTTCTGATCTTTGTTATAATGTTGTTTTGTCATAAAAACAAACCTGGAGTTGTGTTTTGTTTCATTCGCACATTTAACACACAAACCCTGCATATTTAGGTTCTTCTCTCACATAAAAAAACACTCCATAAAGCTTCACTAGAATTATTATAATGGATAAGTTTAGTATTTAGTTTAGTATTTATTTGAAGGGAGAATGTACAGAGATATTACGCTCATAAAAACAGATGTTCTGTACCAGATTAGAAATAAATAGCAAGTTTCCATCTGCAGCCACTGATTTACAGAAATTAATTATACAATGCATTTACAATTTATATCTACATTCAGTCTGTCCACTCTCTGACCCACACACTCTCATACAGCATCATAAAGCATTAGATATTTACAAAACCATGAGTTTCACCTTATAAAATACATAGTAACCTATCATTTCTGCATTTCACTATTTCATCAGACCATAGCGTACAAAAATATAATATACCGGTGTTACATACATTATTATAGAGCCCTGGAATTTCCTCTCTTCTTCTCTTCTGAACAAAAAGTAAAAGGAAAGTGACTGAAAACTACCACTTCATGACATGTCAAGGTGTAATAGAGCATTTTGAGCATGGGAGATATAGACAGACTAATAACGCAGGATTACTCAAACATGTGTGAATGAAACAAAACACACGTACGGGTCTGTTTTTGATGACCTAACAACATTAACATGGCATAAAGCTCACATTTGGCGTAATATAGGACCAGTGTATCCAGAAAGCCTTCAGGTATACCACACTTGTTAATTTCTTACCTGCGACCCTGCACCATGAGGAGCACCTGGATCTTCTCTTCACCTTCTGTGTGAGTGGAGACAGCTGGAGAGAGACAGCAGTGACAGACGTTAGTTTAACCTTGCATTTTAAAACAAATAAGTATACTAAGATAAGAGCATTTATCAGTTCAGTCTACAGATTGTTGAGGATCCAGAGAAACCGATGGCCAATAAGCTCTATTTTTGGGATGATATGTAGGGCTGTAGAGATGATAATTTTCCCCAAACATACTGTATATGAATTGAAATTGCAACCAACATAAACATTGTCTAGACTTTTTACTGCTGTGCATAATTAAACTATAATTAAGAAAGATGGCCTCAATAGAAATTATTTTGAAACACACATAACCCTTTTTTTACTTCTAACCTGTAATAGAGCAGTGTGAACTCATTTTGTGAATGCCATCATTGCACTGAAGTTTTAAAATGAAGCAGCAGTTGGTTGGTCCAGCCAGAACCACACGCTTTGAAAAAAAAACCTTACAAAGACGAGTGGATCTGGAGCTGTATCCTGTCTCTGCATGATTGACAGGTGGATTAACCAGTGAGACGCACTGTCTGTTTACATCAAGAACAAACATGGCAGGGAAAACACAACATAAAGGACTGAGAAACAGCTTTGATTTTTGCAGAATGAACAATTGATGCACCAAACTATTACTTATCCCTGGTAAAATGTTATATATTTTGTTCTGAATGTTACAAGAGTTTGAGGGATGTCTTCTGCATTTGAAAGATGTGATACAAATTAATGGCTGTGGTTGGATTTTCATGCTTCCTTCTGGATTTAAACAAAATGTAGACCAGCAGGGAACTAATGAGCCCAAACCAAATGTAGGCCAAGGCAGGATAAAAAGGATAAAGGTGCACTGTGTAACTTTCCTGTTGGACGGCCTATCAAATGCTTTTGTACTTGGAGATGTTATTGCTTTGTAAAGAATGTTTCACAGTATCATATTAAACCTTTCTATCTTCATGGAGACCAAACCAGACCAAGTTACAGGTCAGATATGTGGAGAGACGACCCCACTCACAGTCAGAATGCCTGTTTTTTGAGCTCTTTTTGAGCAATAAAACCACCAGAAATGTAAGATAGAGTTGTTTAACAGAGGCGGCGCTACCATTAGGCAACATTAGGCAGTCTTCTAGGGCCCCCGAATCTGGAGGGGCCCCCCAACCAATTGCCCTCAGTGCTACTAATGGCCGAGGCCTCAGAGCAGTTTGATTTTCTCTCAGTATGACATTAAATGAGCGTGGTTTACATTTAAACAAGAAAACACCATAAAAATAGTATCTGATTCTCAAATCCATTTTAACTGTCAAATCATCCCTGGACTAGTCAGAATGGACTAGTCAGCTTGACCCTGATTTGAACATAATCATATAAATAAATAAAAATAAAATAAAATAAAATAAAATAAAAATAAAATAAAATAAAATAAAATAAAACAAAACTACTTTCAGTTCTGGTTATCAAAAAAAATAAATAAATAAATAAAAAATAAAAATTAAATAAAAACAAAACAAAACTTCTTTCAGTTCTGGTTATCTAGTAGGCTACCTAAATAAAAAGACAAGTTTCCAATCCACCCTAATTCAAATAGAGATGTGCATGTCTCAAGAACAATGGGGAAAAACAGACAATACACATTTTAAAAATGGCTAACTCCGCTACTGCTGTTTAATGTCATCCTGTGGAACATTCCAGGCAAAGCAATGACATATCTGTAGAAACAAGAAAGTGATGGACCCCCAACAAAAAAGTTACATAATGCACCTTTATAACCAATAGCCATAATGCAAAAAGCGGACTGATATATATAGCTGAACCAGTCTGTCTCCAGTAAAAATAAATAGATCTTATAGGTGCTTGTGCATGACATTTCACTTCTCATAAGAATCATTTGCATTAGAACTCACTTCATAACTTGAATATAGATACATGTATAATATGTCTAGACCCATACACAGACTCCTACAAGCAATCAGCCAAGGGTGCAATATAAATGAAAAGCAAAAGGATCTAATTGCACTTATTTTTATAGTGTTTTATAGCCTGAATTGTAGCTCACGAAATCCAACGTCATTCTTTGTTTTGAAAAATCAATCTTTTAAAATTGATAAAACTACAAAATAAATCACAAAAACAAGAGGCAGGAAACAAAATATCTGACATAAAGAGTGAATGCGCTGATGGTGCTAAAATAAGAGACAGAATGAGTAAAAGGAATTGTGTAGCAGCCACACTCGGATTGTAGCTCACAGAAATCAAAGTCATTGTAAAAATCAATATTTGAAATTGATACAACAAAAAAGTAAAAATGTGTGGGAAGCAAAACAAAATGGCTGATGGAGACTGTTTGTGAATGAGCTGATGTAGGCTAAAATTGGTCAATATTCGCAAAATTTATCTATTCTGTCTATTCTATTTCATATTAAAGATTCATTGTGTAACTTTTCTGGTTTCTGCTTTTCTTAGTGGAGATGTTATCGCTTTGTCTGAAATGTTTCACAGTATGGCATTAAACCTTTCTAATCATCATGGAGACCAAACCAGAACAAGGTATAGGTCAGATCTGTGGAGAAGCAACCCCGTTCACAGTCAGAATTTCTGTTTTTCTAGGTATTTTTGAGCTGTAAAAACACTTTTAAGTTAACAAATGTAAAGTAGAGCTGCTTATTGTCATACTGTGGAACATTCCAGACAAAGCAATGACATATCCATAGAAACAAGCAGGCGAAGGACCCCCAACCAAAAAGTCACATAGTGCACCTTTAATCAAAGATTCCTGAAAATGTCTTATTTAAATCCATTCTGTATTTGTTTAAGTACTTTCTTAAATCTTTTTGTGACAGCATTTGCTAATGTGTGCATTGTGTCGCCATGGTAACTTCTAAACATTATGCTGTAGAGATAGATGTAGAATACCCCCAGCATGATGCCACTGCAATGTATCAATATTCAGAAATAGTATAAACAAAAGGCTTGGATCACATTTTTGTAATGCTTGGTGCTTCGGTTCTCTATTTACTTACTATAAAATATAAATTTAAAAATCCATATAATGTTTAAAGGCCCTGTGTCATACAAAATGGATTTTTGTGAGCTTTTAGCCATTTTATAATTTTACTTCATTAAAAAAACAAAAAAACAAAAACAATAATTAATTTATCTACATCTCCAAAGCTCAAAATACTTTTCGAGTTTGTTGATTCTAGGACTGAAATGATCCAAATGATTCTAGTGAAGGTGTATGGAGTTTAAAAGACAGAGGAGCACTTCTTGTATTACCGCATGACATCACAAGGTGGAACAGAGTGTTTTCTGTTTGTGAGAAGAACAGGGTGTGTGTGTTAAACATGTGTGAATGAAATGAAACACAACTCCAGGTATGTTTGTGATGAGGAAACAACACTATAATATAAATCAGAAAATAGCGTAGTGTGGGCCCTTTAATGCTCAGATGTTCAGTGAAATAAGCCTGTTTCAATTTATACTCGAGTAACACCACAAACTGTTAAACGTAGATACACATGATTGGCACAGTTGCGTGGACTATAGTTACACACCGAGCTAAGCAACAATATAATCCCTACAGTGGCTTCTCACAGATTTCTTTTTATATTTTTAGTTTTGGCAGAATTTCAAGGGCTTAGAGAGCGTTTTTAATTCTGATCCAAACTACAAGAGAAATGAGAACAAAACTTTGTGATTGATATGGACTTCAGAGCACATTATTAAGAGTGTTATCAGGTAAATGCAAAAACACTTGTCACAGCTGTTTGAACAAATACAGAAATCCTCTTTTATCCGGCTAACAGCGCACTGCGGGGTATTTGAGTTACTTAACAAGTTTGAGTGATAAGAATACATCTGCAGCTCAGTACTTTTATATAATTTGTACAGACCATTTCAGATATTTCCTGTGTTAGGTTGTATTGACAGAAAGTACAAAGTAGTAGAACCAAGTATTATGCTATTTTCTGATCTATGTTATAAAGTTGTTTCCTCATCAAAGACACACATTTAGGCTGAGTCAAGCTCAAGCAAAAGAAGTGCTCCACTGCATTTTTAAACTCCATACACCTTCACTAGAATCATTTGGGTGATTTCAGTCTGGGAATTGCCAATCTCCACTGAACTAAAAGGTATAAGACGTAGTTGTTGAACTAACAATAAAGTATTACTCAAATGTGTGAATGAAACAAAACACTATTCCAGGTATGTTTTTGAGAAGGTGACAATATTCTAACATGCTGTTTTGTGGTCCATAAACTTAATTAGAAACATTTTGTAAATTATCAGAGCTGCGAATCAAACATTCACAACGTCAGATCCCTGTGAATGCATGCTGTGACCTGACCCCTGGGCCATCCTGCAAAACAGATTTCGTATTTGTTCTCTTACTGTGTACCAGTTTACGACCCCACTAAAATATCCCCATAGCACTGTACGGAGCAGCTGCAAAATTGCTCCCATGTTTAAAAATGCTTCGACGTCACACTGAATGTCCAAGTGGGAGTTTATAGAAAATCAAGACGCAGTGAGACATCATTTATTTATCGTGTATTGTTGCCGAACAGCGCCGTACAGAACTGGCGATAAAGGCTTTGATTAAGCCTGATGCTCTACCTACCGTGATAATCCCCTATAGTGGGTTTGCTAAGATGATTGAGGTGATTGTAAATGTGCAGCCCGGGGTTGTGAGGCTGGGGAACTGTCTGTAGAGCGCTTTTATGTTTGGAGCATGCATCGATTTTAACCGAGCTGTTTATTTAATCCGTGAGTTGTGAACAGCAGAGTTTACCATAGATGGAGCTATAGGGCTGAGAATTGCAGTGTCCCTCATGATTTCATATGGAACTCGATACTTGGTACATGGCTCACAATTTGATATTATAGTTTATATACTGATACATTACTGTTTTTTAAGAACCAAATACATTTTAGCAAGTGTTTCTTTGTTAAATCACTACTTTTGCTTCAGTTACAGGTGCACTGTGTAAGTTTTCAGTTGAGCGTCCGTCAACTGCTTGTTT